CCGTGGTGCCGCAAGCTGCAACAACCTGGCTGGAGCTCTGTGTGAAGCTCTGAGTGCTCTGCAGTCTCCTCCAGCTGTACTGGTTAATGTACAGCATAAAAGCCCAAATCAATATCATTTTGCATATGAAATCCTCTTACAGTTAACAATTTGATGCATCACCATCACGTCATGCTATCCTTTCTCTTTCTCCTTAATCTGCATTTCCTCTTTTTTGTCTTGTTGCTGGAGCACGAGAGCATCTTAGCTGGCGCTACATGGCCTTTGCACGACACTACACGACACTAGATATTTCTGTAACACTGTGTTAAATGTGTCACCACTGTCTGTGTGCTTATGTATGTAAAAGGAGGATGGTGAGAGCAGTCACGTGCTGCTGAGAAGAGTGGGAGGAGGAGGATGACTGCCAGCTCTGACACAGCACTCTTCCTCAGTGAAAGAGAAGGGGAATTCATTAAGATTATGAGCCACTGTAACCCTGAATTAGAGAGCTCTATTTCAGCCAGCCCTTGATGCTCTGTAACCACAGCGACATGACATTTCGGCATGGATTCATTTGGGATTGTGTGTGTTTGCAGCGTGCATGTGTATTTGCTGTGTGTGTGCGTGTGTTTTATGGAGGCCCAGAGGCTGCAGGCACTGCGTCAGACACTGAAACCAGACGAGTGTGCGATGCTCTGGTTCACTGATGCTTCCAAGGTCACATGAAAGCTTTGTGTATACGTGTGCAAGTAAGTGCATGCACGTGTCCCTCTATTTTTTGGTTTCGCCTTCTTCCTTCCTTCTCGTCTATAAAGCCCTCTCACAGAGAGGAGTAAATACACATTGGCTTGCTTCCACGTATTTCCACTTAGAGTGAATTGACTCATCACAACCAATCAGACACTTAAAGGAAAAGTTCAACATTTTGGGAAATGCACTTATTTCCTTTTTTTCCGAGACTTATATGAGAGGATCAATACTAGTGTCACATCCCTGTGTTAGGTACGCTGCTAGAGTCAAGACGTGATAAGCCGAGCTTAGCATAAAGACTGGACAAAGAGGGAAGCAGATCCAAAACAAACAATACCAATCCCTCTCAAACTAAGTTTATCCATCTGCTCTGTACTCTCTGTGTAGTGTCTTCAGTTACAGCACAATATCACGGATACTGTCGGTTAACACAGGTCTTAATTTTGTTCTCTGTACAGGAACAACAATTCCAAACCTGCTAGCCTCACTGTGACATCAAGACTCCGGGAAGCTGCATAGTCAATGCGCCTGGCCTCTGTTTGCCAAGACACTGAACTTTGGACGGAGTCATGCTAGCTGTTTTCCCCTACTTCTGGTCTACACGCAAAGCTAGGCTAGCCATTTCCTGACTGCAGCCCTGTACTTACCACACAGACAAGACAGTGGTATTAATTTCCTTATCCTATTCTTAAAATATCAAACTAGTAATTCAGTGTTTTCAAAGTCTTGCAACAAGAGACAGAACTAAAAAATGCAACATTATTCTCAAATATTCAGTGCCCAGTACTACTGACAACTCGACCGGCATCTTTCAACACAAGGCGAACAGTACAATGATATTGTATCCTTTTGCATAAATATCTTCTTCACTATGATTAGTATGAGTATATGGCGTATATTCCATAGGAACAGCGTATAATCGCATGGAATGAGGACAAACTGTCAGTTGGACAACCCAAACAAGACGTACAGTTCAACCCAAAATCAATAATACAGGAAGCACTGAGCTAGCTAACGTTGTCCATGAGTAGATGCATGGTTCCTTCTGCATGGTGATATGATTGGCGGGTGTAGTTAGGTAGAAAGAAAATAGTTCCTGCATGAAACTGCTCACAAGGTCCGTGGATTATCTTGAGTAACCTGGCCATGATTTATGAAAGCAGACAAGAGTTTTCCAAATGCGTTTTTTGGCACTCCGAGCACCACAAGTCGAGTGCCATCTAGTTCTATTATATTGGACTGAAGGCAGACATCTCCACAGTCGATATCTCCAACACTCTGCAACTCACATAAAAACGATCTAAATTGATAAACAGCACTGCTTTTTTTACAACCCGTGTTGCAGGTGTGATCTACTGTTGAATTTCTGGATTACAACCAGCTGATGTCAGCACTCTGATCAGCTGACTGATGAATATAGTCATCAAAATGCTACTAAGAGAAAATAAGAAAATGTATGTTAAGCAATCTAAGTTCACTGAGTGCAAGACAGTGACCACGTTATCACAATGTCAGGCTGTTCCTTGTCTGGGACAAGATAAAAAGCCTTTGCCTCTTGAGAAATACAAGGAATGGACATGAATACCTGCACAATATAATGAGATCAGGTGCAACAGCCCGACGTGCTTTACAATGTAAGGTGTTCATCTGCTGAATGTTAAAAACAGAACATTGTTTCTTCTTAATCACAGGGTTGTGATTTACAAAAAAAGCACTGTGCTCCATCTGTGTCATCAACCTTAGCAGCTACTTTGTTTTTAATTACATATCTACCAGCTCATGTTGCTGCTGAGATCCTCAACCCTCATCATTCAGCTGTATTTTCCTTCTGTCTGCTCTCTTGGACTGATGCTCACATACAGTCATAAAAGGGAGGGTGAAGCTGTGCTTGCTGCCCATCCCCCTCCTTCATTCTGGCTGCTACATCCGCTGCTGCAGAGAGGACCCATGATGGTGTCGCCCTCCCTCTCTGCCCCCACCACCACCACCTCCACCTCCACCAATCCCATCCCAGCTCCACCTCAGCCAAACAGAGCGCAGGTGTTGCCTGCTGCGTCCCTGCCTTCACCTACTGGGAAACACACACAAGTGTTTACAGTGTTCTGGAAAAGACAGTGCACTCGACACTGACAGTCTGCATGTGCCCTGCCTTTAATTTTACAAACTAGGTTATGTAATTTCCAGTTACACGGTCTGAAATTAAATAGTGTAGAACATACAACAATATTTGGCATGTGAGGCTGCATTGTGTAACGTTGTGGGTGCACAGATGATATCACCTCTATCAAATTTCAGTCTTGCGGCCTTAAATTAAAAAAATGTTGCAATATTATGGAAAAATCTTGTCATTAGCACAAATATCATTGATGCAAGCTGTAAAAATGCAGGTCTGGACTCACAATCTAATTTTCAACTCGACCACAATAAAGCACGAGACCAAACAATATTTCTTTAGCATGTATTTAAAAAAACATCTGCTCTACCTCCATAGCAGCACTGGTCAGTAAGTCTATATTATTATTGGAATCTTATCATACAATATGATCATATAATCACTGATTAAAGTAAAGTCTAATAAGTGTGGAGCAGAGCTCACAGCATTGAACATAAGTTTGAATTTGTCTTCTAAATATCTAATTTACATCCATATCCCTCGGCCCTATTAAAAGTCACAGTTTCATAAACCATCAATCACAAAAATACTTCATTATATCTTTATATAACATTATACTGTAGTCTTGGCTTCAAAGTGAATTTACATTTTTTAAATTCTTGACCACTGGTGTTTCAGGCTCGACTCTTGCTCCATGTGGGAGGTCTGATTCCCAGCCAAAGCACAAACCAATCATATCATAGCACAAAAACACTGTGGAGGTGGATGTGTATCAGTGTGTGTGACTGGGTGGGGATGGGGGCCTTAAGAATTTGCAGCAGGACTCATGACTGTGATACACCGCTGATCCTGAAAGGATTTCAAAAATTTAGAGATTCAGCAATCTTTCTGCCACAGAGGGAGACATTACTACAGAGCTGCCTGGATTTCTGTAGTGAAATGTGAAACCAAATCAATAAGGCGAAGCACATATATCAAATGAAGCAAATCCTGCACCACAGACAGGCCTGGTTAAAAATGAGGAGAACGTGCAGCTGAAGAAATGAGGGAAAACTGATTTATTTAGATGCCTGCTCCGCATTACATGGTCTCTAGGAGTCTTTGCCTCACTATGCAGGCCTGTCTGACATAATCACAACCACCAACACTTGCACCCAGTTGACCCTGCTGAGGAGAATCGAGCTGCGCCTCTATTTCCAGGCCTGCATCCTCACCACACAGCGACACTGCTGAAGCATCAGTGGGAATAAATAAGTCTAGATAACAGAACCAGTGCTGGACGGTTCAGTCTGCAGCGTCCTGATGATGCAGGATTACACAGACTGGGTTAGATCGGTGGCGCACCGCCAGTAAAGGGCATCATAATGATGAAAGGGCATCCACTGATCGTTACAATATAGGCCCACAGATAATGCGTAATTTTAAAGACAACTTTCTCGTCCTGCATACAATCCGCCATTAATGTGTAGCGGAGCTGACAGCAGCTTGATTCAGCTGTGAGGCGCTCCGGATCAGAAAGGGTGTTTTATGCAACCGTTTCATGCTCCATCAGAGGGGTGAGGCACTGCTGAAATCAGGAAATCCCGCGGATGGAGAGTGTTAATCTCCAGCCACTTTATAACCAATACCATTAAATTATATTATTAGCTATAATTAGCTTGCCAAGGCGTGAGAAGCAACTGTCTGTAGGATCATACAGTATTCAGGGAAAACCAGTTTGTGTTGCAGCTCCAATGCAGCGCAGATTATTCCTGGAATAAACGCTGATTATGGCTAAAAGGGTGTATGTGGGCTGCATTTGCTTCCAGGCTTTCTGCATCCTTCTGGAGATGGATGCCTACATTCATCAGTGGGCTAATCACCGCTTGGTAAATCCATTTTCAGGTCTCCGCCGCTTGAGATACAATTGCGCATCCGCACCGCAGGAGCCTGGTGAGACAAACCAGCCTCTGCAGGTTTACTACAGCTCCCTCACTACACGGCCGTGGTTTACAATAGGATACAATGGAACACCACAGAGCACAACCTTCATCATCATCCTCATCATCACCAGATGCACAAACTGACATTCGCATCCTGCACAGACACGCACAAACACAGCCGCATTTGCGCGCTCGGCGCAGCATCCCACCAAATAAGACAGAAATAAGCTTACTTTCGCCGACCACCGCCTTTAATCCGATAGGTGCCATGATGCTGCTGAGTGCTGAATTGAGTGTTCACCCAATGCTTCCTCCCTCCTCTCTGTGTTCACCTCACTTCGCTGCGGAGGAGTCTCCAGTTTGAGACGTCATTGCGTATCCTTCCGCATCATCCCCTCATTGGTGGTGCTGGATGTCTGGCTACAACCGCAGCTTATTATCTTAAACAGTTTACTACAGCCTTGCACTTATTACTGAGCCCATTATAAATCATTATACTATTAAGACACCTCGAAAGGTATTTTATAATCTCTTTTCCAGAAACATGCCACTCAATTATTGTCTAGGCCTGCATGTAATATGTAATATATTATTTAACACCAAAAAAGGTGATAAACCACAACCATCTCTATAACTCTAAGTCCTGATAGGGCTGGGCAATATATCGTTAATATATTTTTATTATATCTTTACTATATCACGATATGAGATTAGATATCATCAAGATTTTTGATATCATTATATCACAAGTGTCGCCTGGTTTTAAGAGCATTACATTAAAGTGATGTAATTTTCTGATCCTACCAGACTGTTCTCATTATTATTTGCCTTTACCCACATGGTAATTAAACCCACATTACTGATGATTATCAAATACCTCATTGTGTAAATATTATTTGAAAGCACCACTACTAAACCCTACAATATTGTCACAGAATAAATATTGAGGTATTTGGTCAAAAAATACCACAATATTTGATTTTATCCATATCGCCAAGCCAAATTCTGTCGATTCATTGTCTGATTTAAATTGTTACACTGTTATAAGGAGTGGAGATTGTTGGCCAGTAAATAATAATGATAATAATAATAATAACTTCATTTGTCGAGCACTTTTCAAAAGTGATACTGATAAAACATGAGCATATACATACACCTAAACCAACATATATACTTAACACATAGTCTATCAACTGTCAGGAAAGGCCAATCTGTAAAAGTAAGTTTTCAGATGAGATTTAAAGATGTGAACAAACAAGAGTCAGCTGATCTGATGCTCAGTGGAAGGGTGTTCCAAAGCTCAGCAGCAAGAACTGAAAAGGCTCCATCACCCTTTGTCTTTAACCTGGACTCTGGAACAGTTAGAAGACCAAGACTAGCAGACCTGAGGGGCCTGTTTGGGCGGTATGGTGTGAGAAGCTCAGTTATATACTCTGGTACCAGATCATTGAAAATGGGGCTGGATTGGGCACACGTTGAGGAAACCTCCCTCCAACATGAGCAGACAGTCCTTATCCTGGAACCCACAGGGTAAAAGAAAGCCAGGAAGACCAAAGAACACCTGGAGAAGGTCTGCCGAGACAGAAATCAAGGAATCAAGAACATCCTGGAAAGAAGCAGAGAAGATAGCCCAACACCGAACCAGCTGGAGAAAGTTTGTGAATGATCTATGCTGCCCAAGGAGCAAATGTGTTTAAGTCAGCAAGTCACCAGATCATTAAGAGCCTTGAATGTGATTAAAAGAACTTAACTAAAAAATAAAGTCCTTTTATGCTGATCTTCTAATTTATGAACAAAATGTCCCAGCACTAGAGGCGATTATTTTGGTTACTTAATGTGTGCAAACATTAATTGATGACTGCATTTTCTTAATATGAACCCAAAGAAGAGTAGCTGCCGTTGCCAAGGCACCAACTTAAGGGTCCAAATAAGCAATGAACTCTCTGTCAATATAGTTAGCTATTACTGAGAATGTCCTATTGACTTTAACTCTGATCTTTCATTAATTCGTGAGAATACTGTGCATGTTTTCCCATTAAATCATTCATTATTTCACATCTATCTCTTCTGTTAGCATTATATTTATTATCTAAAAAAAAAAAGAGTTACTAAATGAATTTGCATAAAGGTTTCACAGTGACCTGAGACTGCAGTGGATACAGGGCCCTCTCAATATTAAACAGCAATAAACTCCGTGTCCACAAGGGGGCAGCATGGATCTTTCTACAGGAAGGCGCAAACGCAGGGCATCATGGAAAACTCTCTCTCCCATAACCTGTCACACTATTCCGCATATTTTGGGCTCCAATACAAGTGTTAAATTGAAATGCACTTAATCCAATATAGCCTAAAATATTTTTTTAAATAATCCACATTACTTAGAGGTGATCTTTATGGACAGTACAAGAAGGTTTGCGTTTTAATTGCCATGTAAGTTATAAGTTGAACGCCAAATAAAGTAAGGCTGCACCGACACACACACCGTAAATATTAAACACACTGTCACTATTTAAGCTCCTGGTGCTGGCCACACCCTTGGCAGGGCCGCAGGAACACGTTGAACCAGTGATGACTCCCAGAGGGTGTGTCCTGCCACTGTGAACCAGCCTAGTGTTCACCTCCTCCTGCTCCTCACCGGGCGGGGAGTTGCTCACCTCGCCGTAGTCCTCCTCCTCAAAGCGGGAGCGGAGACACGCAGCAGCGCCAGAGCCGTGCGCCTCTCAGGGGGAAAGTGATTATCCCAGCGGACCTGGTCGGATGTTTGAGACTATTGGAAAGACCACTGAAGCCTATTTTCTTTTTGAATTCAACCTGTAACCAGCCCGGATACTTGCAGGATCTGTGAGGCTCTACTGTAACCATGGGGGACGTGGTTTCCTCTCACCTGGATGAGAGCAGGCGGGAGATGATTACAGGTAAGAGAGGAGTGGCCGGGCTGCGGCTGAAGGACGAAGACAGCTTCCCACAGACTGAAGTTCATTAAAAGTTATTATATTCATATCCAAAACAGCACCGATATCTTCCTAAAAGTTTTTAACAGCGTAATTGACTTTGTAGGGGTGTGTAAAAAGTTATAAACTTTCCAAATAAGGGGCTTTAAGTTATTCAGCTGTTTTAAATGAGTCAGTTTGAACACAAATAGTTATCTGATTTGATTCCTCAGAAAACTCATGCTTTATCATAGATAGTCATAGATAAACTTTGAACTGAGCTGCAGAGAGAAATCCACTCAGACTTCTCTGCATGATCTATCAAAGAACTTTAATTTCTTAATACTGTGTGTGGTGTTAACCCAGCATTTAATTATTTTTCGACAGTAGCAACTTCTTCTCATTAAGTGTCACGTTTCCCCATTTCATTTTGGGACAAAGCTTCTCATTCATATCAGCGTATTGTTGCTCTACTTGAACACTTGAATAGCTCCCGCGTATCCCATCTCTGCTGCAGGCCTATTTCAAAGAGAGATAATAAGTAGGTTTCCCAGAGGCGAGCGTGTTTGTGTAAGTTTGGGAGCGACTGCTATTTAAGTCTCAGATTGCTGCAGCCTCCCACTGTGAACTGAGCAGGTCTGTGTGATTATTTCAACAAGGCATGGGAGCGGAGGGGAAGCAGGGGAAGAGTGCAGAAGCTGAAACACTTCCATGAATCCTTAGATGCTGTCTTGAAATTTTAAGACCGTCGTTGCTGGAAGTATTTTGGCAATGCATCCGAGGTCCAAAACGATCCAAGAAAAGAGAGAAGACTATTTTTTAGCTGCTATTTGGATCCTCCAGAGTCGTGCTTTGCAGAAATTGTTGTTTGAGAATCCTTTTAGCCTCAGTTACTATGTTTCTTCAGGATTGCAGTTGTGTTTGTGTGTTTGTTGGCACACATACTGGCATGAAGAAACCACTTCTGGAAACTGAAAATTACGTTCTTGAGGTCCAGACACTCAGTTTGTTTGTTGTTGCTGTTTCTTGTGAACCAGAAAGAGAAATGCTCCCAGAAATAGTTTAAAATAGCAAGAACAACATTGTGACAAGCGGACTCTCGTGGTGGTGGTTTCTCTGTTTATGTCTGACCTGCCGGTTTATTTCAGTGTATCTGAAGAGATGGAGACTGAAATGATACAAAATATGAATGAATCGACAACACATTTGATAATAGTTTAAACCACTTCAAAGACAAATGTGTGGATTTATGGCCTGCTTTTTCTCCGTTTTATATCCTTATAAATTGAAAATCCTTTGAGTTTTGGACTGCTGTTCAGGCAAAACAAGCAATTTGAAGACATCACCTAGCTAGACCTTTGGATAACAAGGAATACAGAGCCTGTCGGCTTCACAATGAGCTGAAAAGAGCTGTAAACAAAGATAAAAGGTGTTTATCATGAAAGCGTACTCTTGACCCTGGGAACAGTTTGTGTGACAAAGTAATTTCATCTCAAAAGGTCCACTCAGTAGCTTCTCTGGAGCTTCGACTGCATCTCACATTCTTCAACAGTAAATGGGGCTGACTCAGGTGACGAAAAAGTTGGTCTATTTGGGAAATGTATTCATGATTCAAACATTTAAAACATGAACATCTGAGCAGCTGTATACAGAGCCACCACCCCTTCCAGTTTTCAGATACCTAAAATAGGGCAATATCTTCAGCTTATGAGTCTGGCTGAGAGAAAGATACACATGAAGAGATGAGTCAGAGGAGGAGGGTTCGGGGGGAGAACATAACGAGTGAAGCTGCCAGAGTAAAACAGGTAGAAACTTGTCACAGGATTAATACCTGAAACTGCTGTCTGGCTCTCACACACCCTCCCTCTATGTCATCTTTACCTATCTATCTGTACATCTTTTGCTCTCGTCTTTGCATGTATGCAGGCATGTATGAATAACGTAACAAGAGTGTGTGCATTTGTGTGTGTGGGAGCAAAAGGGAGTGAGGAAAGACAGCTCAGCATTTCAGCACTGGGAGTCTTGTTTGGAGTGAGCACCTCCCAACAAGGTGATTTCTTCATCCTGGCTGCCAACGCACATTTTCACAAAATGATCTCCTCCCTCCTCCACAACATAGATGCAATTCAGTCTGAAGAGAGATGAGGCCATGTGCTTGCTCATCTACAGATTAAGCAAACTCACCCATGTGGAAGATCTTGCACTTGTTTCTCAAATATGTTTTCAAGAACGAGATTGCCACTTTTAAATAGAAGCAAAAGCAAGGACTGAATGATGCCAGGAACATCACAGCTTCTGTCAACATCTCATACTTAAGTCACACATTTTACTGGTTACTAATAATAAATAATGTTTCTAAAGAGATTATTTAACATCCTTTAGAGCTGTTTAGCTACAATGCTAATCCTACTTTATGAAACACTCTTGACAGCTGCTTCAATACAAACTGATCTCAGTTTTCCTGTCACATGCAATGCAGTTCGTGTAGCTGGGACCCTGTTTGCAAGACATTTGGACAATTGAACAGGGATGTACAGTACTTAAGTGTAACCATTATGACCCCAAAAGTCCATCCCTTTCAGCAGGTTAGCATCTGTTTTCATCTCAGTGGGTGATCTCAGTGAAGTTTGGTTTGGTTTTCATTACGGTTTCTGAAAAGCACAAACATGTTCCTGGTGTGTTCTGTCCATCTTGTACGTAAAATTAGTATCTACTACAGTATGGCATAGTAGAGTTTAAACTTGTTTACAAAGAAAAAAAACAATAATTTTGGTAGCATTCCTGATAAACAGCATAAAGTTTTCTCATGCATAGAAGTAACCACCTCATTCTCAGGGGAGAAATCCAACACAGTGGCGCTCAGCTTGGGGCTGGTCAGTGTCCCAAAACCTGTCCAGTGCCTCTGACCCTAAATAACTTCAGACAGGGGAGTATGGCCTCTCTCCTGGTGTTTGGCTCCAGACACACATAATGCATTGAGCTGAGCCAAACTATATCTAGTTGGTACTGCTCTACCTCCTGTACAAGCTCTGGTTTCCTCTCAGTCAGAAAGGTGACGTTCCACATCTCTAGAACAGTCTACCAGCGGTCAGCTCACCTAGGTCCTCGGCTTTGTCTGCCACCCATCTGGCTTCAATGCTTCCATGGACAATGACAGAGAAACTATAGCCTGCCTCATCTAAGTGGTGCTTTGTTATTTGACTTCTGTACTTGTCATGAATTGGCCATAACAAACACTATGTTTGAGTGTAGGATGATCCATAAGTGTGCTTGGTTATTAGAACACCTGAGGCCAAAGATTGATGATCAACTTTGTGGTCGTGTCATCAAACCCACACCTGGGTCAAGAACGAAGCAGCACTGTCAACTGATCACCACCTGGTTCTGAGCTGGATCAGATGGCAGGGAACACTTTCGGACACAACTGGTAAACCCAAATGTGTAGTGAGAGTGACCTGAGAACATCTCGCTGAGACACCTGTCCATAACATCCCATCTCCGTGGAATTTTTCATGCATGTTGTGGCATGTTAGCCTTTGTTGGCCTATGGGGTCTCCTGGAGCAGCAGACAGGTACTAGGAGGCCAGAGGGGCTGCAGCTTCAGTGGTCGCTGAAGTAAAAACTTGGGTGTGGGTGGAGTTTTCAGGAAGGAGAAAGCAGGGCTTGCCTCAGGCTGTTGAGGCAGACTAGGAATATTATCCAGCAGTGGGAAGAGCACTTTGAAGAACTCTGAAATTTAACTGACACTTTCTCTGTGGAGGAAGCAGAGTTTGAAGACTCACTGGCAAAGGTCTCTGAGGTAGTTAAGAAGCTCCGCGACGGCAAGGTGCCAGGTATGGACAACATTCTCCTTGAGATGCGGAAGGCTCTGAACATTGTCGGGCTGCCTTGGTCGTCACACCTATTCAATGTTGCATAGAGTTCGGAACAGTGCCTTCAGAATGGCAGACCAGGGTGTTGGTTCCCATTGGGAGTGAGAGTGGAGCATGGGATTGAAAGAAGGACTGGTGCGGTGTCAGCAGTAACGCGGCCATTTTGGTGAAGAGGGAGCCAGGCTGTGAGGGAAAGCTCTCGATTTACCACTTCATCTGCGTTTAAACCCTCACCTGTGGTCATGAGCTTTAGGTAGCGACTGATAGAATGATATTGCTGATACAAGTGGCATAAGTAAGTTTCCTCCATAGAGTGACTGGACTCACCCTTAAAGACATGGTAGAGGTGCCTTCCTTTGGAGACTTTATGCCATGTCCAACTGGTATGAGACCCTGGGGTAGACCCAGAACCCACTAGAGAGAATATATACCTCATCTAGCTTGGGAACACTGCAGTAGCTACAAAACGTTGCCAGGGAGAAGAAAGTCTAAACTACCTGGCTTGGCTACTGTAACCCAGCCCTGGATAAGGAGCAGAAAATGGAAAATAATATAAAGATGCTCTCTATAGAGCGACCTATTGCTCACCTGGTAAAGTGCACCCCATGTAGGCTGAGTCCTTGCAGTGGCCAGGGGTTGATTCCAACTTGTGGCCCTTCGCTGCAGTTCATCCCCCTTTGTGTCATTCTCAAGCTGTCCTATAATAAAGACAAAAGCCCAAAAAAAAAAAAAAAATCTTAAAATAAAATAAAAGATGCTCTCTGTTTTAGATGTCATCTTTTCCAGGTCCCTAAGGCTGCACTAGTTATTCACATAACAAATCAGGGTAGGCTAGGGGGCATCATCTTACTGTGTCTGATGTCAGTCTCTATGGTTATTGTATGACAAGAGAGCAACAGTGCTCTGGATGGAGGAATATAACAAAGCTCTTTGCCATGCCTACACAGGTTGAAACACAGGATTGAGTGTGTGATTTACGATGTGGTCTTTGTTCCCAAATTCCAATTTCCAAGTGCCCCAAAAGGCTGTCCATGTACAATTATCCAGTCTGCTGACTTTGGCACAGCAAGACAACCAGTGGAAAGTACCGACTCTCTGCACATTTGGAGTGGAAGCCTAGTTAGCCAGACTTATCTTGTGGAAATTTACACTGGATGGCGTGAGTGTCTATCAAACATCCACAATATAAAAAAACAGTGACAAAAATAAAAGGAAAGTTTGCATAAGATCCATATCTTGTACAAACAGGATTAATCACATAAAAATATGCTTTGGGACTTAAGGGGTTCTGTAGACAAAATATACACAGTAAACCTTTTGATGAACTTTTTTAAGAAACAGAAGGGTTGATAAGACATTGCCAAACAATGGGGCCGTCTTCATACTCGTTCAGATACCAAACCTGGGTTTAAGTACCAATAGTAAGACAAATGATTTTCTTTTTCATCAAAAAGTAAAATTGTCAGAAAAAAAACAGTAGCTATCTGGTCAAAGAATATGAATCTGACTAGATATTTTGGTCGGTACTATAAAAGTATCAAGGTTTGATAGCTAACCCTACAAAACAGTATCCACAGGATGAGTCTTAGTATTAGCTGTCTCAAAATCTTCCTTTGTTTCCTCTGACCTGTCAGTCCATCTCCCCCAGTATGACACTGTGTTTTTAATAAGTTTGTGTATCCTTGTCCCCTGTCTCCTCCACATTTTCTCCCTGTCTATCCTGTCCTGTCAGCGCTTTCCTTCCTGCTCTCCCACTACATACCGGCTCCCTCCTTCCTGTGTTGTCCCTTCCATAAACAGATCATAGTCATCACTGTCTGCTGCTGACTGAGCCAAACATACTGATCGGCTCGCAAACTGACTCTTTTTCCAGCACTGGAACGTGGGAAAAGTTCATGTCCCCTCCAGCAGGGTCTCAGAGTATTTATTAGAATGCTGCTTGCAGACAGAGGTGGAAAAGAAATGCTGAGTCAGGCTGCAGAAAGGATCTATGCAAAACAGGAAAACAGTGATTTATCCGAATTGATTACCATAGGAAGACTCCTTCTTTCGCTCCTAATGGGCTGCAACTAACAAGTATTTTCATTATCTATTAATTACTTAGTCTTTAATATGTCTGACAATGCTAAAAATGTCACAATTTCCAAGGTGACATCGTCAAAGGACCTATTTAGTCCAGCAAATAGTCCACAACACCCAAAGATGTTCACATGGTAATCATTTTGAGGCTCAAGCTAAATTTGGCACAACGTATCATGTTTAAAATGACAAGTAAGACATCCAGAATATTTCTATTTGACTAAATGCTGCAGCCATAAAAACATGGAGTCATAGGTTTGAATATCTAGAACAACGTTTGAGTGCACTGTATTTTAACTATGCAAAAGCTTTATGAATGACAGAGCTGTACCAGACAGCTATGATATTAAGTAAACTGTGCTGATAATATATGTTACGTATCTCTTGGTAGAGTGCTGCCCAACAGTCACTGTTTTCTTTCTAAAGGGCCTACTTTAAATTTTACTATACAGCATTATTCATGACCTGATAGCAGCAGTTGACTTTGTGGGCTTTCTGACATGGTGAGACTTAATATAAGACAGTATGCCCTCACAGGAGAATGGCATCTCTCAAAATATACAATAAAAAAGAACTTAAATTGCAAACTTAAACTGGTAAGTTTTGAAAAACATACCAAAAGTAGAGATGATAAAATCACGTGGAAATCAGCCACGTTGCGAGAATTTGTCACGTCTGTCTTGTTGAAAATTAATGCAAACTTTTTTATTGGGTTTTCACTGCAGGACTGTCAATTTTTTACCTTTCAGTACAAATGTTAGCCATTACTGTGAAACTATAAGATGTAATTTTTGACTCAACTGTATCTTAAATAAAAGTGCTACAGAAATATTGTGTCACTGGTGTGATATGGAAGTTTCCTGATCTTGTGTGTCTATCTGTGTGTCCTCCTGCAGCTCGGACCAGAGATGTGATGAAGGAGTTTGGCGACGTGTACGAGCAGCAGTACGCAGTCGCCCTCTTCAATAGCGTCCGCTTTGAGATAGAGGGAGGAGGAGGAACACAGTCACAGCTGCTTCACAGAAAGGCAAGTGCATTGTATCAGAGCTACAAGAGGTTTAAACCTGCTCAGTGTAGGAAGATAAAAGACAAGCTATGCAAAGAAAGAATGTATGTGGCTTCAACCTGTGACTGGATAATATCTAATACGTTACAAACATATAACATATATATGTTAGGTAGGTATTTTCCTGTTCGACAGGTTTTTTAACCCCTTGTGTCATTTACAAAATGAGTAATTAAAAAATTAGTTCAAGTAATCAACGACTCAGCATTACACTTAAAAAATGTAAATCTCTCCAGCTTCCTTTTGCCATCCTACAAGACGTGTGAACAGATTCACACCATTGTTTGTACCTTAATGATTTATGCATAACACAAACTTACATCAATATAGGCTTTGTCAGGCAAACAGAGCTTGATGCTATACATGACATGAGGCATGAATGAGCTGATTCTTGGGGTCTATGTACCAAAACATTACCTAATGAGCGAGGCCTCTGCATTACCACATTTTGTCCGCCTCTCATCGTTTTTGGTAACTGCCTGGACTGAAAGTCCCACCTTTGTTCACGTTTTCAATCACTGAAGGGGAAGTGGAGCACATTTCACACATGAACAGAGACGCTGTTTGGAATTCTATTATGTTGGTTCATCTGCTCTCTGCGTGATGTGTGTGTGTGTGTGTGCCAATGACGTAACAGCAATGTTTTGCATATGTGAATTTACGCTTTGCAAACACATACATGTAGACACAAGACACCTGAGCCAGGGCTCTTTTTTTATACTCTGCAGATTTCAATGTGTCTAATTTTTGATGTAAAAACTATATACACAATACTACGCAACAGTAGTACTTACTTACTGCAGAGGAATGTATTATCAGCACCGCAATCGCAAGTTGTACTGCAAGCATTGAACTGATCAATCAATTCTGTGGTGATCATTGTGCCCTAATGCAGAAAACCAAAGTTTGGGTGTGTAAAATCTAAGTAAAAAAAAAATGTTTAAACCGATTGCATCCTTGTAAACCATCTGGGTAGTGTGTGAAAACCAATAAAAAACAAAAACAGTACAACTGTATTATTTTTAATAATATTAGCCTGTGGTCTACCTCAGTTAACCCTGTGAAAATGAATCACGTTCTTTCGGCTTTGCCCTGACACAAGCACAAGTGACCCTGTCACTAATGCCCGCAAAATTTCCAGCAAACAAACAGCAGCAGATCCGCTCTCAAACACAAGCAGCTCTTTATGTTTCAGCCAGGCTACTCCCTCCTGTCTCCTTCGTTCTTTCCTTCCTCTCTAAGCAGTCTCAGTTACAGTATTATTTGATCTAAGACAGGAAACCTGACAACAAAGTGGGTGGTGTGTATCCTTGTGTAAACACTAAACAAAATCATCATCCCCACATATGTGGAAACACCAACTAAGCTTTAGGTCTCTTGAATAGTTATGGGAGATCTGACAGGCAAGTTAATACAAAATATACGTGTGTGCATATCAGAAGCCACAATGATACATAATATATGACATTAAAATGTGACATTGCATTAGGCTTTGGTTCTAAGTGTCTGTGATTTTTCAGGACCCTCTGGCAGGCCGGTCCATCTTCTCAGGGTGTCTGTTTCAGTATCTGGAGGAGAATCGGAAATGGAGGAATCGCTTTGTATCCGTGCCAAACAGCTACGACATCAGCCTCTATGAGAGCAAAACAGTGGGTGCACTTCTTACTCGACTAAACAGCTGTCTGACTTGGTCATCGGGTCACTTGTGTTGAAACAGCTTGCCGTGTTTGCCATCTCTCTAATAGGCACATGAACGGGGCCTCCACCCAAAGGCAACCATCAACTGCGCCGGATACAAGGCCCTTGACTCATTAGAGGAATACATGGAGCTGATAAATACCAGCCTGCCAGGTGGGAAAAGGACGGAGAAAATAATCAAATATACACTATAAATATGACAATATATGAGAAAATATGGATAAAAATGGTTGAAAATACTATTATGTTATCTGTCTGCACATATTTTACTTAAACATAAGTTGACTTCTTGGCTGGGCTTTAATTTATCATTAGCATTTATTGACTATTGTATTAAAAAACTCTTGTCCAAATGTATGATTTCATTTAAATTGGCATTGATAATAAACAAAATGTGTTACTGTCCATCCAGATTTAATCAGATTAAAAGCATAACAATGGGACAAGAGTCAAGATGTTACTTATTTTTTCATATTTAATCCTCAATGCACCTGTTTTTTATTCTCATTTATTATTTTTATTTTACGTATTGTCTGTAAGTGCTTTCTAAATCTTTAAGTTTCTCATTCTCACTCTGTCGTGTGACCTGTCGTAGGTATCAAGGCCAAAGTGAGCAGTCATCCGTTTATCAAGTGTGCGACCCAGTACCCCCTCATCCTGTGGCACCCGTACGCCCGCCACCACTACTTCTGTGTGATGACAGAGAAGGAGCAGAAGAAGTGGCACGCCGTGCTGCAGGACTGTGTCAGACACAGTAACAATGGTAACGATACACACAAGCACACAATGAAGTGCAGTGATACACCAGAAAGGTCCCTGGTGGTGTCACGTTAATGAGATTCAGATTTTTTTATTTCAAACTGACGAGCAGACGAGATGATTGCCAAATTCACTTGTCTACAGCGTACACTAAATGTACTCCATTTGAACAGCAGCAGCGTCTCTCTATGTGCTCCACCCTGGACAATTACTGCCTCTCTCTGCCTCTCTACCTTCGTTGGCGGTTCAGACGAGGGTGTGTGTGAGTGTGTGAAGCCTCTACATGCCATCTGAGTGAGCTGGTTGATCTGTGAATGTGAGATCATGCAGGAATGATGGGCATTTGTTTTTATTTTTTTATTAGTCTTGGTAACAGTGTGACATGTTGTTGTCATTGGATCAGAGCTCCAAATGTTACAAATTTTAAAGCCCTGACAGACAATCTGCATCACTTGAATAAGTGGGCAGGGACTTTATTTACTCAACTGAAGAGACAGTCAGACTTATTTTAAATAGGCATTTATTTTAATTGCTCGTGTTTTATATTTGATTGCGTTTATTGAGACGCTTACCTTTTTTAATTAGCTGTTAACTGTTAACTCAACTCTTCCTCCCTTTTGTTTCACAAAAAATCTTTCAGCAGTTTACAGATCACTTGTAGAACTGAAAATATTCAAATATTAGACCATAACGTGTCCATTCATTAGTCTGTCTATTGCAAATAAGTGTTTCAGTCATTATCAAACAAAAATGAAAACTGTTCTCTGGTTGTAGTTTCTTATATCTGAGGATTCACTGCTTTTCTTGTTTTGAAAAAACAAGCATTTTTGAGATTTGGGCTCAGAGAAATTGTGATGTGCATTTTTACCACAAATAATTCATTAAAACAATCACAGACAAATTAATTATTGTTAAAAATTAATATAAAATATCCTTAATAGTTCTAATCCCTTCTCTTTCCTGTAAGCCTTTCATTTTGAAAAATGTACATTAGTACTGTTTATCTTTATGTCATAAAAGAACAGCTAAGTAGACGCTACTTTTACCATTGAGGCATGCAATACATGTCATCAGTGTAGTGATGTGCCGCCCCACCTAATGGCTTCTCCCAGGATTAGGGAGTTACCAAAAAAAACAACTTACATATGAAGAATAATACATTTAAAATGGAAGACACAGCAACTTAGAGGGAACTATGTCCACACAGTTTCTAAAAATCAAGCTCAGTACATTATAATATGACATGTTTATGAAAAGCGTGAGGAATATAGTGGTAATGAGTAGCTGCTTTTTCCTTTTATGAGATTTTTTAATTGTACAAGCCTTTAATTGTTTAGGCGTGTCACCATTATTTCAGTGCTGGCTCTTGTTTGTGAATTGACGGTATTTTGGAGGATCCTGCAGTGTGTTTGTCATTTGGTTGCACATCAGAAAATTATTGTTATATCAGGGTGGAGAATTACTCTTGATCTGCTATAAGGCTTTTTTTTATGATGGCATGACTCATGTGTCATTGTGTTGAGACACAGAAGGCAGAGACGTGCCTGAGGACGCGCAAACATAATGTAATCCCATTTTTTTTATCGTGTTGTCACACTGTATTTCTTGGCTTGGCAAGAGTGACATCTTTGGGCTTTGTGTAGGAGAATCTAATGATTGGCCACCTTCCAAATTGTGTGCGCCACATGGCATGCTCACTGCAAATTATACAACAAGTTTTAATTGGCAGGTATATTTAAATTTTGCAGTAAGATGCAGTGAGTCCATTCATTGCCTACGTTTGAGGAGAGTCAAATTCCTTTTTGTGGTTGTGTGCGTGAGTGATCTCACATTCAGTGTGCTTTATTTAGATTTGAGACAGAGAGAACCGGGATGAGTGGGAACCGTAGGGGAAGTTGAGTTAAAAATACAAAACTACGGAGATTAAGCAATAAACAAACTGCAGTGAACGAGACTGGGCATGTTTGGGTCCTGCTGGCTGCAAAGGCAGGTGGTGTTGAAAGAGATTGTAGATAGAGCGTGGATTATTAAGGAATCTAAATAGGCCTTTTGTACATTATTAATACATCTATATTTATTATAACTTTAAACATGTGGCTAAATTACCTGTAATTGTGCTTGGAGTGATTGTTAGAATGGATCATCACACTCAAGGAGTCATTGTAATCATTAAGTCAGCTGCATCGATCCCTCCACACCTGAAGAAAGATGCAAGCAAGCATGCACTTTAGTTTGTCCAAGAGTTACCTGTGTAAATAAAAAGCCAAACAATCCTGTATTACGAACAACTAAAACCTCATACCATGCATCGAATGAAATAACACACTGGATCGAAGCTCATTAGTAGGCTGAAAAAGTTGCCCAACCTGATTCAACCTTGTTGTGCACGGAGCCAACTAACATGCCAACTGTCTTGCATGAATTCAAGTGTTCTGTTTAACCACACATGTCTATGCTAGCAGCTGTCTGTCACCAGTATTAGTTTCAAATTAAACAATGCAAGCCTCAAAGTGTCAGAAGCCGAAAAACAGGAGCTTTAATTCTTCACTTAAGGAGTTTTGGTCAAAACTAGCCGAGGAGAAAACAAAGTAGAAGCCAAATACCAACTGCAATGCACACATTTTCTGACTGTACATAAAACTGCCTCTGTCTGTCCTCAGTCAAGCACACCTGTTACTTCCCAACACTACCTGTTCGGGCATGCTCAGTAAACGCCAGAGTCCCTGCCATACATTCCAGCTGTGAGGATGGGCTCCAGGAGTATGCTGAAAGAGAGTGTTGCTGTTTTACAGTCGCCATGGCTGGTGTCAGTGTGGATTGGCATTCATGTTTCTGGCCTGTGTTGACACGCCCAGTCTCACCTCTGTCGTGCTGATGTTTTGAGGAGAACCAGAACCGGAAAAAGGCTTTCAGGGGGTGATGAATGGTTTTACAGCCTGACCCCTGACCCCTCTGCAGTTTCATTTACTGACTGGACTTACACACACACACACACACACACACACACACACACACACACACACACACACACACACACACACACAAACATGTACACTTGCTGTACATGCCACCACGTCCAACAGGACAGATTTTAAAATGTTGGAATGAACCCATCTTACATATCAAATAGTTACCAGCAAGTTTGTATGGCTACAGATGGCATCAGAGACCTTGCACATGGTTTTCTTTTACACTTAAGTGTGAAATGACCACTGAATCTTACAGAACATGTCAGTCATGCTACAGAAAATACTGCAGTGCCCATGAAGAATAAACTTCTTGAAGCACAGAAGCTTCATGCAAAGCAGCTCTTTAGCTGAACACTGACACTATTCAGCTGGCTTTGATAAGTCGAAACCACAAGTTAAATGTTCCCGCTGACACACCGATATATTTGCATCCACTAAAGCTCTTGTTGTTTTACCCTCAATCGCTCTCCAATAAAATGATCAGCTGCTGCTTTGCATCGCCTTAACAGAATGAAGTGCAAAGCATCCTGTTAACAGGTGACCTCATCGCGGTATTCTGCACAACGCAGAGCTGCGGCCCATCTCATTAGTCAGCATGTCGACGTGTCTGTGTGAGTGTTCACACCACAGAGTTCAACCAGGATCTGCAAAATCTAGTAGACCCTTACAGCAGACAGTTTGGGTTAGACCTTCACTGTTTACCTTTGTTTACTCTTCAAAATAAGTAGTTACAACAATTTAAATGTGACTGTTCTAGATACTCGACCTTCAGCCTCTGTAATTAACCTGGTGAGTTAAATGTTATGACTTAAAATGGAACCAGTAGGCCTAAACTAAAATTTTAAAACCCACAGGCCACTCAGAGTCTCCGGTGATGTAACTGTCGTGGCTGAGGTTTAAATTCATAATGAACTTTACACGTAAACATAATGATGTCTAGTCCTGAATTAATTTGTTTCTCATTCAATTGGCTGATTGATGAAATATGAAGCCATTTTTTTTTAAATCAGTAAGGGGTTCCCACACAGTTTTACCAATGAATTTTCAAAACTTTCCCATAATATTTTACTCTAATTCCATGACTTTAAGTAGTTTAAGTAGCGAATTAAAGTAGGGCACATTTCCAAACTGGGAGAGGTACACACACTTCCTTTTCCCACAATTAAATTTGGCAACTATTACGCTTTGCACCGAGCCTCCACCAGGGTCTGCTTCTCTTGAGCCATGTATTAAATTTGTTGTTTGAAAGCCATACATAATTAACCACACAGTTCCTGGTCATTTGCGCTTGCTAACTTGCCAACTTTACTCGCACGTTAGACATTCCTGCCACAGACAAGCTGCATGCACCAATATGTATCATGTGATTATAGTGACATTTCAATGGTTAGGCCACGCAGCACTAGATTTTAAATTAGCAATACATCATATTTCAGGATTTTTGTGAGCATATTTTAATTAAACAATAGCCAAAACAATTTATACTCCAAACATTGCTAAGAAAATTTGTTCATTCCAAAATTTCCCAGGCCTGAAAAACAGTTTTGCTAATTTTTCATAGCTTTTCCAGGAATTCCATGACAGTGGGAACCCTGAATTAATATCATAAGTCATATTGGAGCAGGCAATCATTTGTTTGTTCCAGCTTCTGAAACGTGAGGATTTGATCCTTTTTGTTATATATTATTGATAATTAAATATCTTTTGGCTTTGAACATTAAGTCTAGTAAAACAAGCAATATGGCGAGATAATCTAGGACTAACGTATATATTTATTGACTTTTTTATGATTTGTTCATTAATTAAAAACTATAATGAAAATTGATAATAAGAAATAATGATTAGTTTCAGCCCTTATGATGGATTCAGTTGGTGCAGCAGTCCAGCAGCCAGGCTGATGCTGCATCTCATCAGTAGTCATAGACTGCTCCAAGCTGCTGCTGGGCCACTAGAGTACCATCAATCACAGACAAGTCTCCACCCCCACAGCCCTCTGCTCTGATCCGCAGACCTCAGACTAATTCCCCTCAGCAAGAAGAGACCTGCGATGGGCACATTCAAAGGGCGATAAAAGAACATTTCAAGCCATGTTTGTGGCTTGTCAGTAGCTGAACAGTGTGCGTCTCAACACGCTGTACAATTCAAAATGCTGACGTTTATGTACTCTATGGTGTCGTTACCCGACAAAATATACAAAATAAACCAAAACAGGGTGTCTGGCATTCACTCATCTGCAGCTGATGGAGGCAGGGATCTGCTGAAATCGTATTTTAGGACTTATTCGGTCATGTGTTTGTGATGTCTGCGGCTGATGGTATGTTTCAATGAGTATTTATTGTACTGTGGGTTTGGTGGGTTCTATAGGGCTGCACCATATGGGGAAATCCTCCTCATGAGTGTCAATGGAGGGAGCAGCAGCAGTGCGAGGATTTATAAGAAGTGCTTTAAACAAGCTTCAATGTAAAGGCAGGTGCCCTGAAGCTGAAGCCTAATCAGAGAAAATTTGACATGGAAATGCATAATGGGTTATAAAATGTCAAATATATTTAACTCTGGGAAACATACACATGCATCTGTAAATGTGAAGGCCTGGGAACCCATCCACTGCTGCTGCTAAAATCCCACCAACCAGAGAGTGGTGAGCAAGGCAGGGAGGGAAATGCCTCGAATAAAGAGACCGTGGTAAGTGCTGCCACATGTTCTATTTATACATGGTACACACATGCACACAGTGCAGAGAAACTAATCTGTTCCTTGATCTCACTTGCTTCAGACACATGGAGAATGTGTAGTGGTTAACAGGCCTGGCAGGTAGTCAAAAAATATTGTGCTTTTTCTGTTGGCACTGAGAGGAAGTTTCTCTTTAAGTGAGCAACACGCTGAGAATATAGAAGAATTCGCTTTTAGGTATTTTACACTGCTGATCTGGTTTGCTCCCTTAAATTTTTCAAATTACCAATTTATTCTTGAAAACTAAACAGTCGACATGAGGACTGAGTGTTTAAGCCTAATGATTCCCAGCCACCAGGCCACAGACCAGTGCCATGCCATGGGTAAACAATACTTATTTACCATTACTATTTATTGTAGGGGCTCTAAAATATCTCATGATATGCCAACTGGACCCATCATAATTCCAGACTAAGGTAAAAGATGCTTTGGGTTGTCTGCATTTCTTTTAACCAATGACAACTGTCTTAGGCAGCACTGAGCTTAGGATGCAGCGTCGATGCCCCCTTTTGATTCTAGCAAAAGAAAACAAATCATAAAACATTAAAAAGACGTTTTAGTGTGTAGGTCGCAAGTTCAGAAGCTGGTAGGCACAGTGCTAAAACAAACAAAGTGTGGAGATACGTCTGGCTACGCAAGCCCTAGTTTTAGTAGCAACCGGGATTCTGAGAACAGTAACATGCAGGAAGCATGTTCCCATCTAAAATAGAGGGGCAATGACAGGCTCTACATCCACAGTCTACATCCTTTGAGTTACAGCAGTCCATCATCACCCACTTAGCTACTCGATAAGCATGTGCCATGTTCCTGTTACTGTTACAACTAGTTAGCTATCATGGTTAAACATGAAACTTCAGGAGTGAGAGAATGTTAGAGGAGAAGATTAAGAATTCAAATATGTAATTTCCATGGCTTAAAGTTCAACCAATGTTTGTGAATATGAGCTACTCACTCAAAGCCAGAAACCTGAGAAGTAAGACAATGAAAGACGACTGATTTTGTGGACCCACAGACTGCTTTTCTTTTTCTATAAACAAATGAGCTTTATTCTATTGTGTTCTCAGCTCTGATACCGAAAACATTCCCATTTAATTAGATCATGCCCCTGGGTGCTCTCAGTGTCATTTATAACATCTTTCCCAATTAATTGTCTGTGGAGCAGTTCTAGACTTTACACACTACAACATCACAAATTTGAGTTTTAGCACTGTACTTTTTGGATTTGGTCCATGTTTACTTTAATATTTGGACTATCTTCGACCATAAGAATATCAAATGAGTTTTGAAAATGGGCGTAGTTGCCGTTTGAAGTTTGCTTTAAGGCTTAAAAGCTTTGGGCCTAAGCTTTAAAGGGAGGAGTGTCATCCTCGGTGCTATTCTTTGTCTTACTTCTGTGAGGCAGATGTAAATACAAAGGATAATTTTGCCATAGAGTCAGTAAGTTAGCTATGGACTACGACACGAACCTAAGTTATATTTTTGCAATTGGCATTGCTGAATTAGCTCCCTCTACATAGGGAGAGCTGATTGGCTGACTACTTGGTCAAGAACACTTTAAAAGGCCATGTTGCTGACATGCACATTATCCGTTGAGGCTCTATAAGGATAGTAAACCATAAGCCAGTCTGCTGCTGCATCCCTCAGACACTCTTCACTGCATTTGACCTCCAAACGATGGCTGGTCACCTGCCAACATGCCAGCTGTCTGTGCCGTTATTTTCCCACTGCGCCTCTAACCGTAGTGTCCAGTGAATTCTCATGCGAACCTGTGCCAAAACAAGCTAACACACGACCCTCAGCCTGTCAGCAAAGAGTTAGTGAGCCGGGAGCAGAGACAGCTTCCTGTCTGGCACTGCCTCTCCGCCCGCCTCACTCCTTGGTCACTTCCTGTCTTTGTCAGCCTCCTCTGAGTCACAGACTTACAGCCACAGACAAAACAACTTCATAGACATTCAGGCAATAAAGACGCACACATTGATGCTTGTGTGTAACAGACTTCACAGACGGCAAACAGGTAATCACTCAGGCATTCTGTGGGTAAACCAAGCATTCATTCATTCATTATGCAGCACAGAAAACTGCATTCTTGTCCCTCATTTTTTGGCACCTCGAGAGCGAACAGCCTCACAAGGCAGCAAGGGTGGATACTTAAATTGCCAGAGCAACCTCGCCAAACTTTTTTTGGACATTTGCACACATGTATGTGGAGGTCTACATGGCGTGCAGGCATACAGATACATTTATATCCCTGTAATGACATCAGTATCATTGCTATATCTACTTTCACTTCAGTAAGGGTGAAGTAAGGGCTCTAAATATTTCTTCCACCACTGCAAAACTAAATCGCTTCAGTGGAAAGTACAGCACTTAGCGTAAGTGTGTAGGCACAGTGAAAAGCCTAAGCAGAGGGGTAAGGTTTTTAAAAAGGTATGCTGCTATTGTTGAAGTTGTGCTTTCTTATTGACCAGCACAAATGATGGTAAACAACATTTCAATAACAGCTGGGTGGACACACCGCAAACCTATCCTTTAATTTATTTGTGCATCAAAGAAGTGGCTCTTGTTGCCACATGAGCAAAGAGAATCTCAATCAGTAGTTTTATTTAAAGAAAGAACTGCGCCGAAGGACAAACTAATTATAGAGATGTTTTATTCCATACACCTGTTTATACTCTTTTGTGAGGGATATATGACTTTCAGCGCTCTGTGTCACTCAGTGCTGTGGCCTTGAGAGTGGGAGAGAGGCAGCTAGTGATGTATTTCCATCACTTGAACACAACCACATGATAAGAACCAACTTCCTAAAAACGCACACGTTGCCGAGTGCTTTGTGAGCTGCTTCTATTGTCCTGACGGCTGGGAGGGGCCGTAACCAGGGCAACCACATGAAATCTGTCCTCCAACAAGCCAACATCTTCCTGTTTTGAGGGATGACACAACTGTGTGTGACAGGGGCTGAGTGTATGTGCTGTCCTGCACTCCAGCGACTGTTACTGAATATACCGCCGGCCAAAATTAGACTCTCAGATGGCTCCACAGAAATGACTCAGATGTTATGGAAACTGTTGTTAGTGTGTTAGTGTCTACAGAAACCAATGAAATGTTGACACGTTAGTTCATCGGATACTAAGTAAACATTCATTTATAGTCATTTCAGAGCATTCTGACACAGTAAGAAATCAAACAATTCAAAAAACATCCTGCAATTTTGCCATTTGCCATCATGTCAGCCAACTGCACCTTCTTTTAAAAGAGGGGAGAAGGGGGTCTGGCCTCTGTCATGTTACCAAGCATCTGCTCTGTTCTTTTCCGCCCCCAACAGGTCTGCCAGAGGACTGCACTGTTAAAACACCAGCCTTCACTGATACTGTGAGACATCACAGACAAGCCAAAGGACACTATGGGACCTGGGATATGATGTGTGGAGCACCCCCACAGGTCAGGATCTCAGATTATTCACAGTACAGCTGTGTACCAGCTCAGAGGCTGGATCCTATAAACTATGCATTTCTAGATTTGGTTTCAATGCCTTTCCCATCTTATGCAAGATAAACGTAAACTCAAGGTATCATGAAACGAGGAGCGCCTGAATGCATCATTAGTTTTAGACTACCTTAATGCAGGATGTTCTGCCCAGGACTGCTTGATCACTGCAATAATCATAGTTACAATTATTTTGGTTAATACTGAGATCTGGATTATTTAACTCTAGTATTCAGTAACTTGAAAAACATCATGCGTTTATTGAACTTTGAAAAAAAAATAAAAAATAAATGTGAAAAAGATATACTTAAAAATAAATAGTAAATAATAAATATGTTTAGTTAAAAAATATATAAAAAATAATGATAAATAAGTAAAAATAAATAAGTTTAAAAAATAAATGTAAAAAATAGATACTTAAAAATGAATAGTAAAGAAATATGTATAAATCTAAAAAAAAATAAAAATAAATAGGTAAAAATAAATGAGATAGATAAAACAAGATCAAAATAATTGTAAAAAAAAACTATATATACTTAAAAATGAATAGTAAATAAATATGTATACATTTAAACAAATATAAAAATAAATAAATAAAAAATAAATTAGATCAAAATAAAAAAAAATCAAAATAAATGTAAAAAATAGATACTTAAAAATGAATGGTAAATAATAATGTATACATTTAAACAAATATAAAAATCATAAATAATAAGTAAAAATAAATTAAATAAAAATAAAAAAAGATCAACTATGTAGAAACGTTAGAGCAATTCCACAGCCAAATGAAAACTGAATGCGGCACAGTAAAATTTTTATGTTGATTATTTTGTGAAAACACAGCCAGTGATACAACTTGATACTGAGGATATTGTACCTCAAATAGCAAGATTACTGCTTGTGACAGTATAAAGAGATTTCCAGGAACAATTTCCAAAGACTTCCTCTGAGTATCTGTCCAAAGTTCAGGGGGGTATTCCAGAAAGCAGGTTATGTGAAAACTCAGAGTAAGTTAACCCTGAGATGAGGGAAACTCTGAGTTATCTGTTCCAGAAAGAGAGGTAACTGAAACTCTGAGTCAATCACCATGGTAACAGACTCTGAACATAACCTGCTCGCTGAGAGGTTTTTTTCAATAAACCCTGAGTTTTTCTCTGTCTCCTCCCTCTTACACGCTGTTTCATTTCCTCATTCATTTAGTCCATGTCAAAGCTTGTATCGAAGCGCATTAATTAGCGGAGATTTACCGTATGTAACAGTCTAAATCCTGCTGGATATTAGTTTGTTACTCAGGACTGTCTCAAGTTACTGAATTTATGCACATCAATCATTTCTGTGGACATCATTTTTTGTCTTAACATTCAAATATTACACAGTGAGAATTCACCCTCAGCTCAGAATCAAACTTCCGTCCTTTTTATATTTATTATTTTTTATAACACTGTGCACAAGGATCAGACTGTCAGTCTGTTACAGCAGCTCCCAAATGTTTATTGCACATAATGTGTAGGTCTAATTATTTAAATTTTAAAAATCGGTATGAAGCTTTAGACACATAGTTTCAGTGACTAATGATCTCTATCACTGATGTCATTGGTCGCACTGATGGAACAATTCCTATAGCCTAATATTGGGGATTATATGTTAATATTTCTGAGTGAGCAATGGTGCAGGATGTCTTTATGTCTTTGATCTATAGCCTAGCCTATATGTTTTAAATCTTCCTATTTTTCAGTTGCTGCCTCCTGTGTTTTTCCCCATCAGATTAAATCTAAACAAATATATTATTGTATATAACTAATATAATGTAAGGTATCTACAGCCTGATACAGTCAGATTCCACCACTTTATCTTCATTAATTAAATGTAAGTCTGATAAATATTGAATAAATGGACAACACTGAATAAAACTTTTTTATTAACTTTATGGTTAACTTATTTACACTTTACTCGCTCTGACTCAGGCTCCTCTTTTAAAGATAAACGTGCACCGTGTGCTACACATGCATTAATATCTCTACATCCACTGGATTAAAATGGAGGCGCTGTCTTTTATTTACCTGTTGCCATGGTGAATCGTGGGGTCGGAGCTCCATTGATGATGGCTTTTTATTGTTGGCTTAACTCAGAGTGTACATACTCAGAGTTGACTGAACTAACTCAAATCAGCTGTTCTGGAACCGGTAACTCAGAGTTTCCCATCTCAGGGTAAATCAACTCAGAGTTCAGGGTTAGACTCAGAGTTTGTTGAACCTCCTACCTGGAATACCCCTCAGGTCAGGATCATAGTTCAACCTATTAAGAGGCCTCGATAATGGCAGAACAAGATTTTTCAGAGGTATGGCTGCTCTCCAGACATATCTCTTGCCATGCCAATAGCTCCAAGTTGTTTTTTTTCCTCAATGAGTAGGCTATCGCTCGGAAAAACACTCCATCAACTTCACCAACACACACCCTTTCTTCACACTACAGTACAAGAGTGCACCTACACAAGACCTTCAAAGAGACTGTCAGCAACATGACCCCACCCCTCAACATACCAGTATTCACAGAGACACACACACACACACGGTCGATTGGGGTCTCCCCTCTGAATGACTTTCTTTCAGTCTTGCTGCTAGTGCTTCACAGTCCCTCTGTTTGTTTATGGCAGTCACTTTTTCTTGTTTCCTGTTTCGCTCTAGTTCCCTTGCAGTTTTTACTCAGCTATGTGTACATGGTAAAGCTGCAGTGATCAATATTTTACATTAACAGTGGGTGTTTTAAATTTCTTATTAATGTAATGAAGTTTTTTTATGAGAGAAGATGACATTTTAAGAGAATATACAGAGCAATTCAGGCATTACTGTAAGAGATTTTTCCATTTTCCAGTGTCTTTCCCTTTCAGACATTCCTGTGGATTTTTAATCTATTATGTGAACACAGAAGGGGAAAAATAAGCTGCAGATGATCATGAGCACTGTACGTAGTTATGAGCTTTATGAATCCAACAGGGGAAACCACAAAATAAGAGGTCAGCTGTGTAAATGTAACTGGTAGTACAACAAACTTTCACAGTAAATACAAGCGTGAAGTGAAAATGAGAATATATGTGGCAAAAGAATGGGCAGTGAGCAAGACAATAGTCATGTTTACATTGCTAAAGCCAGTTTATAATATTCCCATAACACTAAAGTTTGCATTGAGCCAAGAGGAAACGCCCCAAAACAGCAAGACCAAATCAGCACATAGCACAGGGTGTCTACATGTATCAGTTAAATTTAATGCATTTTAAGACCCGGTCAAGACCCATTTTAACCAAATTAATGCCTTTTTTTTTTTTTTGACAAATTGTGTTTTACTTATTTAAACATCGCAGGTAAGGATTGCAGGCACGTAGTATATAACACTTACCTCTGCACAGATAAGTGTTATGTAGGAATATGGTTATTAGAGTGAGTTAAGTCATCTACATTTTGCCAACATTTAAGTGCAAGTATGACGTAAAATGACAGCATTATAGTTTTTAAACATTTGTAACATTAGAAATGTGGACTCATACACAGAAAGGCTTTCGCAAAAAGAAATTTAAAAATGGATAAATTAAATTAGATCAAATGTTTGTAGTAGTTAAGACCTCAAAGACTCAAGTTTAAGACTATTGAATGATTTTATAAGAACCTGTAGACACCCTGTAGCGACCATCGTACTCAAACATGATTATTTACATTACATTACAATATTCAGAGTGTGAAAGCATCATAATGCACAAGCAAAACAATGACCAAAAGATTAAAACGCCACCACAAGCAGTAATCCACAATCTGCCAATGGCAGAACAGCACAGAAATGAACATCCGCCTGACAAAAACACATGAAACACGCCCCTGTTTCACAGTAGACGTGGCTTGTAGGAAAATCACAGGTGTAAATAATTAAATTAAATATGGCTGAATGACATTAAGCTGCTTTGATTTCAGTGTCCTGACAATTTGGGACACATGGCTTTAAATGATAGAGCCATTATAAATGTTATCAACACCTATCAACTCAAAATGTCGGCTGTGAAAAAGGCTAATTAGCCGCACTGCTAGCATAACTCACACAACAAACACCAGCTTAGCAGAGCCAAGGCAAACAGTAGACACAGAATATATGTGTTAGCATAACTAGCTAACACTTACCTTGGTGATGTGAAGCACAGTCCCCGCAGTCTCCAGCAAATGTCAGCCGGGCAGGAAAAACTTAAAAGTTAAGCTAGCTTAAAGCTTGTTCGAAGCTAACAGGTGAAACAACCGGCATCCGGCGAATAACGTCCATTGACAGTCAGCTGGGGAACAAGCGTCTAACACAGCCATTTCTTCCACAAAACCGCCCTGTAGAAAAAAATGTTGAGACTCTTGGCAGGCTAGTTTCACTGTGAAATGCTACTTTAGCAACGTTAGAGGTACCGGAGTAGTAACGGGTCCAAAAAAGTGGGCGGGGCATCAACGGTTTAAATAGACCGCCTTTCCGGAAGGTGCGTTCAATGTCCTGAACTTGAATTACGTAGAATGTCAAGTAACCAGGTTTGGACCATAGACTGTGTAAATAGCCGGTTTTTATATTTAAAAAATCATTAATAAAACTGGAGGTGATAAAAAAATGCATGTGAATGGAAAAATGGTGCCGTAAAAATGGTTGTGAAATGAAAAAATGAGTGATAAATCATCAAATGATTTCATTAATTTAAAGCTGATTTCACTAAAACAGTTGTGATCTGATGAAACCAACAACCACGTTTAATATTTTCCCTATCTTACATCCATCATTCATCAGTCACAACATAAAATTGTCATTTATCCTTTAAAGGAGCAGTAACTAAAACTTAGGGAAATATAGGGGCATCTAGCAGTAAAATTGCAAATTGCAGCCAGTTGAAACTTCTCCCAGTTATAATTTCCTTCAGTGTTCATTGTTTAGGAGGTTCTTACTGGGAGCTGAACAGAGTGCCCCAATAATGAGTCCCTAAACCATTTTCCACTCCTGGTTCCCTGGTCTCAAAGTCAATGTGTTTTTTTAATTTTTTTTTTTTTTTAGTTCAATGCCTGAAATAAGGTCTATGGTGATACAAGATTAAGAGACTTTCATGTTTTGTTCTGCAGTACCCCACTCCTACTCCACTCCACTCCAGCTGTCTTTAAAAAGGCAGTTGCTGACAAGTGGTTAAATGAGACTACAGAACAGCGTGAGGCTGCCAAACACAGCTTTACAGTCTTGTTATGGTGGTGACTTTAGGTCATGCGACCATAGTATAGTTCATCTACAGCCTAATGTTAGCTTCTTAACCTCTGGTGATTTCATTTAGGGTTCAATAATCATGACAGTGGTGTGATGTGGTTGTGAAGGTTATCTTGCTGAACAAAACATCTTAACATCTTAAATGTTTGTTTTGATGAAGGAACCAGTGCAATGCTAATTTCCTCGTCGGCCTACATAAAAATGTCATCCTTGGGGCACTCTATTACCCACAGAGGTCTCTTCTCCAAAACAGGTGACAGAGCAGGAGATTAAAAATGGTAAAAACACTGAATAGAGTAAGTTCACGTTCAAAAAGTCACTGTTTTTCCAATGCTGCTCATTGCGGAGGGGCCGGTAACTATAGAAGCCGAAACAAAAATGCAAATTGCCCTATCTCGAGCCAGTGTTTGGTTTGTCCATTTGGGGCTACTGTAGAAACATGGTGGCGAGATAGATTTCTCTAGATCCTACAGACTGGACCTTTAGGGAAAGTGGCCACAAGCTTGGAAGTAACAAGAAATGATTGGAAAAAATGAAAGTGATGAAAACGCTTACAAATAAAAAATGGAGGTGATGAAATGTATGTTGAAAAATTGAGCATCAAAAATCGATGTGAAATGAGAAATAGAGTGATAGATTATCAAGTGATTTGATTAGGCATCATTGTTTTTTCGTGATTTTTTGTTTTACTTTTTCCAGAAAACAAAATATACAGTAGATAAATAATGAAAAATAATAATCATAATACAGTACACAGTAGTGTAGTACAGCGTTAAATAAATTCAGTTTTTATGGCCTTGCAATTTTAGGGGAATCCAGATGGACATTAAAACTATATAAATGTAATTATGAGACATCACAGCCACCAACGGAACAATACAACAAAAACACTTTTTAATTTAGTCCTTTCAAACAGCCTCACTTTTAGACAAACAGACTACAATAACATACCTGTTGTTTATCAGGTCTGTCTGTTCCTCTGTGTGGAAAAACCACCCTGCTTTTGTCTCAGCTATTCATTACCCCGAGCAACGTGTTTCACCAAATATTTAGTTTAGCTTAGTAAAAACCTCATGGAGATGCTGAGCTGAGTGTGTGTGTGTGTGTGTGTGTGTGTGTGTGTGTGTGTGTTTGTAAAACCAGCTTTCCTGCCTCCAGCTGTGTATCAATCGCCTCACTGTATCCATGTGACCACAAGGGAAAGAGAGGCTGCTCTTTTTTTAAAGGGTTGTTTTTGTTTTTCTTTCGGTGGAGGATACTGGTTGTTTTTGACTACACCTCTAATGTAAAAATCCCTGGTTGGCACATTGCCATAGTAACAGTAAATGGTGGAAAGGTGGGGCTGACCTAGCAGCTCACAGTATGAACTAAAAGGTCCATTAGGTAGAAATCAATCCAATACAGCCCAGTCAGATTTATTATAACCTCTTTTATTTCTTTATTTATCAATAAAAATACACAAAAATAACTACATAGTAAAAGTGTGTTAATACATAAATTCTGTATGTTGTTTGTGTACAGATTTTGGCAAATCTGGTGATGGAGACCCTCCACCCGGAGCTGAGAAACATTATTGGTCCTCGTCTGAGGGGGAAAATGCAGCAGAGGCAGCGACACTGGATGTTGGTGAGTTCCTGTAGTACCATACAGTGCACTGCAGATATGGTGTAGGAACACAGGGGAGGCCAAACTAATTATGCCCTTGAACAACTCTCTCCTCCAGATCTCTGATGCAGTGTACAAGCAGGTGTTGTCTCAGACCACCGGCCAGTATGAAGCACTGGTCGAAGCCTGTGAGGCCCAGAAAGCTCCACTGGATGCCAGACTGCGAACAGACATGGACCAGATCATCACGTCTAAGGAGCATGTCAGTGGCAAGATACGAGGTGAGAATGAATCTTCCTATCCTGACAGTGCATTAAAAGGTTGTCATAATCAGTTAAAGGGACAGTTCACCCCAAAATCAAAAACACATATTTTTCCTCTTACCTGTAGTGCTATTTATCAGTCTAGATTGTTTTGGTGTGAGTTGCTGAGTGTTGGAGATATCGGCCGTAGATACGTCTGACTTCTCTGTAATATAATGGAACTAGATGGCACTCAGCTTGTGGTGCTCAAAGTGGCAAAAAATACATTTGAAAAACTCAACATCAATGTCTCTTTTCAGAAATCATGACCTGGTTACTCAAGATAATGGCAGCAGTGGTTAGAATTGTCACCTCACAGCAAGAGGGTTCCCGGGGTGGGGGAGCCCTTCTGTGTGCAGTTTGCATGTTCTCCCAGTGTCAGCGTGGGTTTTCTCTGCGCACTCCGGCTTCCAAACTACACTCACCAACTGTATCACAGCGCATAAGGGGATGCTGAAGGGTGCTAGCTCACCTAGCGCTACTTAGCTAGTAACATTACAGCTCAGCCAAGAAGGATGCCATTAATGTTTACATCTTGCACTGTCACGAGCACAAGCCTCTCATCTACGAGTAGATGCACACTTCCTCTCCCCAGCAACACTTTCCAGCTCCTCCTGGGAGACCCCGAGGCGTTCCCAGGCCAGATGAGATATGTCATCCCTCCAGCATGTTCTGGGTCTGCCCCGGGGCGCTTGTAGTTTGGTAGAAAGAAAATAGTTGCTACATGAAACTACTCACAACAAGGTCTGTGGATTATGTTGACTAACCAGGTCATGATTTCTGGAAAGAGACATTGCTGTTGGGTTTTTCAAATGTATTTTTTGGCTCTTAGAGCACCACAAGCTGAGTGCCATCTAGTTCCTTTATATTGGAGAGAAGGCAGACATCTCTACGGCTGATATCTCCAACACTCAGCAACTCACATCAAAACAATCTATATTGATAAATAGCACTACAGGTAAGAGGAAAACATATTATTTGGGGGTGAACTGTCCCTTTAAATCTGACAAATGAAAACAGAACATTTCACAGTGTTTTCATTCATACATTTTCCCCTATTACTGAATATTTGTGGCCACACAGTCAGTGATGTTAACATACCTTTTGCATTGTCCAGCAGTCTGTGGTCAGAAAATTGTTCCCACCATGAGGTAGAGATGAGTGATGATCAATCCCCACCCCACTTTTTCCACAGGAAACAGATTTTGACACCTAGGTCTATGGGTTAAATGTGCTTTGAAGGTTTATTTGTACACATAACCATTATGTTAACCAAATGTAGCCCAATTTTAACCCATACACCTGGGGATCAACTGTAAATATCCACTGTAAAAACAACTGAAACCATGATACTAATCTACAGTATCAAAGCTGTGGATACCTGTAGTGAGAGAGAAGTAACAGGACTCGAGTGTAACATGGTTTTATTAAATGAAGTAAGATCCAGGGAGGAAATTTAGTTAGAACAGAAGGAGGAAGGGGATTAACAAAACACAAAAAGCAATTTTGACAGACAGAAATAAATATTTGGCATTTCTGAATCTACCCTTAACTGAGCACCACCTGAGTTTATACGTGTCCAACACGCCATGCAAAATGACTCAGTTCACTTGCTGCTCGCTGTGCCGTGTAACATGATCTTCCCTACCTCAAGTGCACGCTTCATTGTTCGCCCACTGTTTGCCTGAGTGAGATGTAGCTGTGCTTTCTTTGGTCCGGGGATTATTGGCATGGCGAAGCGATCAGTTTGGTCACTGAATAACGCCACAGTGCTCAAGTTTCTGACAAGTTTGTTTGGACATTTCCTTTCCTCTGTAACTAAACCTCCCTCCATATCGGACATTTTCCAGCTCTTGTTGGACTCTCTGCACTTTGTGTTTCAGTCTGCTGTCACTCACTGTGTTGGGTTAGCTGGCTTCTACAGCACCACAGCATCCACCCTTTGAGCAATGAGCCTGTCACTTTCCTATTCAACAGTTCACTTGGCACAGGCTGCCCACATTTTTCATGTGCACTGTTTTCCCATTGAGCTAAAGTGGCAGAACTGCATTCCATCACCTGCTCTATATTTCTGACTTTATGCCACAGATAAGACTCGAAACTACAAGTCAGCTGTACAAAACAGTGCAGGTTAAATGAGGGGAATGCAGAGGTTTGAGAGTCGTAATCCTAGCTGTGGGTGTTATTTAGTCTGTCTCTTTTAGCACGGGTTATACTTCCAGCAACTGGGTGTATCCGAGAGTTGGGCTTCCATTGAAATGACACAAGTGTGTTTACTAAATGTCATACATACCAACATTTCAACCTGGCAATCAGTAATACACTGTGTGTTGTCATTACATATTTGCAGAGCTCCTCTAAAGTCAGAGAGCCATGCCTTTATTTGTCTTGATGCCCTGACTGACTTTTCATCATCATTCAAAGTGTGTTTACAAGCTGCAGCAACTCACCATGATTATTTTCTTTTCTTCTATTCTCTTTGCGTGCCTCCTGGCCTTCAGCCCTGGTGTTACCCAAGGCGGAGCAGCTCCTACGGACCAACGTCCAGCCCTACATCAGCTCCATACTGGAGGCCCTGATGGAGCCCACCAGCCGAGGTTTCTCCGAGGTCAGGGACGTTTTCTTCAGGGAGCTGGTGGAGATGAGCAAGAACTCGCTAAACGGAGGGGGCAAAGAAAAACTGGGAGATGTGAGTCATGTTTGCTGCTGCGAATATTCCTTTACCCTTTCTTTCTGTGCATGAATTACAGTTTTTCTCAACTGCTAAAACACATTTCACAAACGTTTCCTCTATGTTCCCCAATGTCTAAACACAACACCCTTTTCTAAAGCTACATAAACACAACCACACCTTCTCACTTCAAAACTCAAACTTTCACACCAAAAGAGCAGCTCGAAGCTTTCAAAAATGTAAACACTATACACATCATTACACACTACAGCAAAACAATTGAAAACACAATGCTCAATTTGTGAGAAGGTTCTTTGTTTCATAACTGCCAATGCATATTTTTTTAGAAACTTTACAGTAACGGATCTTCTTAGATCTCTGTAGAGGATTAGGCATTTAGATTTGTGAGTTTCATATGAAGAGTATAAATCTATAGAAAATACTGCATGTACACTACTGTAACACAACTCAATGCAAAAACAGAATCTATTGCACACAACAACTCTTGAAAACATGTTCAGGGTGTGAAGTTTTTTTATTTACTTTATTCACACCACAATCACTGTGCGGCATCATGTCGCTGAGCTGCATCGGGCCACATCACTTCATCCACATCGCAGGCTATATTTTCTCTTGCCAGGCACCGCGGGAAAAACCCCCTGGAATGGCGAATCCATCCTTGGAAGGCCTCCACTGGGATGTCAGCACAGGCCAGCTCCATTGCCCTTAGGAGGTTCTCTCTAGTGTATGGTTGTCTGTCATAAACCTTCCATCTCCACGATGAGAAGAACTCCTCTATAGGGTTCAGGAAAGGGGAGTAGGGTGGCAGACAGACGTTTAAAAACTGGTTACTGTTGGTGGTGAACCACTCTCTGATTTGGTTTGTTCTGTGGAAGCGGACATTGTCCCAAATGATCACATAAATGGGATGTGCGGGCCCAGGATGGTGTTGTTGGCGGTCCAGGAGGATGTCTTTTAGCTCCTCTAGGAAGGTGAGGAGACGTTGGGTGTTGTAAGACCCAAGGACAGCATGCCGGTGGACAAGCCCCTCCGAACCCATGGCCGCACAAAGAGTAATATTACCCCCCCGTTGGCCAGGAACCTCAGTGATGGCTCTTTGGCCAATGATGTTACGGCCTCTTTGCCTTCGTTTCTGCAAGTTGAAGCCAGCCTCATCCAGGAAGAGGTACTCATGAGGTCTGGCCATCGCGTCCAACTGTAATATCCTCTGTGAAAATGTGAAAGTGCACAGGTGTTCAGAACAACAGTCAATCAGGTAGCACAGTATTGTCCAGAAGTAATGTAGGCCACTGAGCAACACAGTATGTCCACTAACTGTACTGTGAACATGGATGTATACTTACTTGCACATACTCGTAACGTAGGTCTTTGTGTCGCGCAGAGTTGCGCTCAAAGGGAACCCTATAGACCTGTTTCATCCGCATCTTTTGGCGCCGGAGAACTCGGTCTATTGTGGCCAAGCTGACATCATCAATGCTCTCAAAGTTGACATTATCGGCAATGACTTTGTCTCTGATCTCCCGGAGTCTGATGAGGTTGTTCTCACGAACCATATCCACAATGAGGGTTTCTTGTGCCGCTGTAAATATGGCAGCCCTCCCACCTCTATGTGGCATTCTTTCAACTCTAAAGACAGAAACATGTGTTGTCAATTGACATGTTTTACAATAACAACTGATTTGAAACCAATAGACTACTTTCACAGGCTTGTAAAACTGTATTGTGACAAAGAAAGCAATAGAGTACAATACCTGTTGTGTTGTCTGAATGCCCTGATAATGTTGGCCACGGTGAACCTACTCAGGTTTGGACGGACTCTTAGTCCTGCTTCAGCCATTGTCATGCCATGGACAATGACATGGTCAATGACTGTTGCTCGCATCTCGTCTGTAATGATGGTGCGAGGTTGTCTTGCTCTTCCTCCTGGACCTTCTCCTCTCCCTCCTGGACCTTCTCCTCTTCCTCGTTGGCCTGCTCCTCTTCCTCCTCTGATTTGAACTCCTCTTCCTCGTTGGCCTGCTCCTCTTCTTTCATGGCCAGCTCCTCTCCCTCCTCTGACTCGGATTCGTCTTCCCCTGACTCTGCCTTCATCCATTGTGTTTGTTTGGAAACTGTGCACTCTGAACTTGCTTTTATACATGTGGTCACAGCATTAGCAACAGGTGTCTTCAATTTTGAGTCGTTGTGTGTAATGAATGACGCCAGGTGTGTTCATTGTGTTCAAATATTGCTGACTGTGGCAAGCATTTTGCATCACATGAGCTTTCATTTGAGAATATGTGCAGAGTTCTTTTGCAACTTGTGTTTTAGCAAGGAAAAATGTGTTTAGATTTATGAGAACAGAGGAATGTGTTTTGTGAATTGTGTCTTCATGTGAAATGTGTTTATGATATTGGCAAATGATGGCTAGATTTAGTAAATGTGTTTAGACAACTGGTCATTTGGTTTAGAGGATTGGCTTTTGTGTTTTAGCATTTGAGAAAAACTGTAATGTACGGTAATAGTTTGATTCAGGTGTTAGCATTGTTTACAGTAATCTTACATCTCCAGTAACACAGGTCAACACGAGTTGTTTGATAGCCAAGGTAATATAGAGGGAGGTCCATCGTCTGTTTTGCTTAGCACCTTAAAGGGACAGTTCACACCAAAATCAAAAATATATATTTTTCATCTTACCTGTCGCGCCAAAAAAAAAAATACATTTGAAAAACTCAACAGCAATGTCTCTTTCCAGAAATCATGATCCGGTTACTCAAGATAATCCACAGACATTGTTGTGAACTATTTTCTCTCTGCTGAACTACATCAGCCAACTGTATCACCGCACAGAAGGAAGAGTGCATCTACTCATGGATGAGAGGCTCGTGTTTGTGACAGCACATGATGTAAACATTAATGGAGTCCTCCTCCACTGAGCTGTAACGTTAGCTAGCTCAGTGGTGCTAGGTGAGCTAGCAGTAGATGCACGCCTCCTATTGCACTGTGATACAGTGATGCAGTCCTATATGATACTCCTCACGACAAAGTCTGTGGATTATCTTGAGTAACCTGGTCATAATTTCTAGAAGGAGACATTGCTGTGTAGTTTTTGGTGCCATTAGCACCACTAGCCGAGTGCCATCTAGTTGTATAATAATCGAGAGAAGTCAGACATCTCCACAGCTGATATCGCCAACACTTGGCAGCTCACACTAAAACAATCTAGACTGATAAACAGCACTAAAGGTGAGAGCAAAAATACATAATTATGATTTTGGGGTGAACTGTCCCTTTAAGCTGTGGGGTTGCAATGTTAGTTGCCAACAATTCTCTGCAGGTTTGTTACCATGACCCCCATTCACATTACACACGGTCATATGATTCAGTGTTGAAATAAAAGACCTGGATTAATGTAGCTTTAACACACACTCTTACTTACATCATCGGCTGTAACAGGAAATTAATTTTGCTGTCTCCCAAAAAAAGCAGCCCTTGTTCCTACATCTGTTTCCCATGCTGCTTTTTTTAGACAAAACTGAGTCAAAGCACAGACAGAAACCTCACTAAGCTATAGGCCTGTGCTTTAAAGATGAATTACTAATTGGGTTCTATTATTCTCCATGTAAGAGTTAGGTTTGGTTTAGTGTTTATTTGTAAATGTAGAGTATTGCTGGACTTCTGGTCACAATAAAATTATTAGAGTGCATGAAGAGATGGTGTTTGTTTAGGAAGCCTCAGCCACATCAGTGCTTCTTTAAAGTCAGGGAGTGTCCCCAGCTGCTCTCTGTGACCTTAAGTCAACTCAACCTGTCTCTCTGTTTTGATCTTGATTTTGCTTCTATGATGCTTGTACCACCTTGATGGTGATCAAGGTGGTACAAGCTTCTATGATGCTTGTACCACCTTGATCACCATCACCCTCCTCTCTCTGTCTTCCCCTCAGCACATGGACAGGCTGTCCATGCTCGCCTTCCACCCGGTGAAGATGCAGAGCTGCTACGAGAAGGTGGAGCAGCTCAATCTGGAGGGGCTGCAGCAGAGGTTCGACGTCGCCAGCCCCTCTGTGTTCGTCAGCAGGGCTCAGATTCTCATGAGGGAGGTACGGCAGCAGTTTTTTGTCTGGTACAACACAAAGATTTAGCACGTAACAAAGCAGTGAGGAGGCCTGAAAACACTCCCTTGTTCCTGTAAGACAACAGTAACCTGTCCTGCCTGTGGTTAAGTCTCTACTTCCACCTGCTGGACAGAAAGAGTATTACAATTAATAAAGATAAACCAGCCCATTTCTCATGCTGCTGTGTAACTTAAGATTTTTTCTTAAATTCTGACAGCAAATGGACAACGCAGTGTACACATTCGAGCAACTGTTCAACCAGTCTATAGAGAACCAGGGAGAGGACGACTTGTGCAAGAACATCCAGCGATGCCAGGACAGGGTTCTCAAGGTAAAAAATAAAAATTTAAAAGGCGTACAGGTGACAAACACATGGCAACATGGATGAAAGATGAAGTAAAGACTGTTCCCTCATCAAGTGTTTCCTCTATTTTAGCTGGAGAACATACAGGACAAAGAATAATACATTAAAAACTGACATTTAGGATCAGTTCACCACCTGCCAGAAAAGAAAGGAAAAAAAGTAAAAATCTATTAGTCAAACAGAATCTGGATATACTGTATATTTTAGCAGAAGCAGCAGGAAGGTGCTAAGGTGTGTATGTTTTGTGTAATGAGAAGAAAAGCTTTTATGAGTCACTGAGCTCTACATGTGTTTCTGGTCTGTCCCTGTCAGAAATATGATTACGACAGCAGCACAGTGCGCAAGAAGTTCTTCAGAGAGGCTCTGCTGCAGATCACCATCCCGTACATGCTGCAGCAGCTCTCGCCATCCTGCTCACCTGTGAGTAGCATCCGACATAACCTCAAATCACTTTTCTGAGCGGTCTTGTTAAATTGCATGTATTATAATATACATTATGTCTTTACAGTATTGTGACACCTTTCCACCATTTTACATTCTAAGGGTGACTGTACTCTGAATTTCAGCAACTTTCTGATGTTTGTTTAGGTCCAAAAGCCGTTTATAAAAATTGTGTGGAAAGAAAATCGTAAATGATATATATCCAAAGCTGGTAACATAGCTTGCAGGACCCACTGAACCCGTCCCATGCCACTGTCAAAACTCACAAGAGAAAGTATGGCCACTAAGAACAGCAGTACAAGAAGCATAAGGCGAGACATGAACAGCTGAATTCAAGACAGCACCTTTGATTGCACTGGTCTTGTTTCTAATTTGCAGTGCTTTGGAGTTATTAGTACTGTTCTGTTTTTTGGCCCTTCCTGAGCAGGCAGAAAAACACCATCAGATTGCACAGAAAATGTGAAATACTCCCTCAAAAATGTGTTGATTTTGCAACAAAACATTGACAATGAACATAACATGAACATATATGGAAGTGATACTTAGGACCATGGATAGATTACTGAAAAGGCCTACTGGGCACACGCCCCATGGGCCCTAAATGTCAGGGGACTCCCTGGTCTCCACTTGCAATATGTCACCCAAAGAGACATGTGCCAGAAAGAGACCCAAAATAACCACAAAGTAACATAAAGTGACCATAAAGAGACATAAACACTACGAAAGGATGCAAAGCAGCTGCAAAGAGATATGTGAGACTCACGAAACTATGAAAAGGGATGCAAAGCAAAAATGAAATGACTCATGAAATGAGACATAAAACAACTACAAAGAGATGCAAAAGGACTGCAGACAAAAATAACTACAAAAAGACCAAAACATTTACAAAGTGACACAAACCAACTGCAAGGACACACAAAATTAGCACAAAGAGACACAAAACCTAAAAGAGATGTGTAGCACCAACAAAAAGAGGTTATCCAACTACAAAGTCTATGTGTGTCTTGCTTCAGTGTAGGAGATGTAGCAGGGCCTTTTGCATGTCTGTGCCCAGGAGCCCACTGTCTCTAAAATCCACCCATGCTTGTGACCAGGGACGGGACAACATATGATTTTTTTTGTGGATTACAATGAAAAATACTAAGAATACGTTGATTGTGGTGAATTCTCCATTAGAGGGATAATTGTGAATCTCGTGTCCAGTGGCACCGAAAGAGACAGCTGGGCAACCAACAATAACCTCCTGAGACCCTGTGTCCTCATATGAGGAGATTGCATTTTGGGTTTACTGGACCTTATACTTCATTCTACTTAACTCAGACCTGTTGTCCTTGTTTGTGGACACTGTTTGTGCCATCTAGTGGTAGTAAGAGCACAATACACTAATCCGTGTAAAACCAAAATGGCAGCCATCTCTGCGACTCTGCCAAGTCAGTCTGCCACTGACCCCGACACAAAAGTAGACAAGGTCCAAGTTTTTTTATACTTATCGGGTCCTACTGATCCCAAATAGCTAGGAGAAATAAAAAATGCATACCAAACAAAAGTTCAGGTCTCAGGTGATAAGAGACCTAACAAAAACAGGCTGCATACGCATGCACCAACCTAATCTTAATCAGGCAAGACATGATTCCAATTCGAATAGCTAAAATAAATTGGTCTTTTAAGATTGTTTTTCACTACAAAGGATGTTCACTAAAAATGTGTCCTCTCTGTGATGCAATAAAAATGAACAGTGAAATGATTCTGGTATATTTAGTGTAGTTTTAAAGGTTTTAGGCATATTTTGATGGTTATCGTGACAAAAATTGCAAATATTCTGTCCTGGATACGTGGCATGATATTTTTATTTCGTCCCATGCTTACTTGTGACTTTTATTCAGCCCTGTCTGATAACTGGGGCAGAACTGCCAAAGGTGCATGCTAACTGATGGGATCACAGACATTAAATGTGATAAGCTGTTAACTGATTTGACTCCTGGGAGCTTTATAAAACTCATCTCTGCCCTCTCTTTCACCAGGAGCTGCCTCGCTTTAAAGAGCTCATCTTTGAGGACTTCTCCCGTTTCCTGCTGGTGGAAAATATGTTTGAGGAGGTGGTGCTGCAGTCTGTCTCCAAGGACATAATGATGGGTGAGGAGTGAAAACAAAAATATTTAGAAACTACTGCTGCCGTGACAATAGAAGTGGTAGTTATAAATGATATCAGCAAACATACTTGTTACCACAGTGAGTGACTTCTGTTTTCTTCGTTTGTACAGCTGTGAAGGAGGCAGCTGTCCAGAGGAGACACAATCTCTACAGGGACAGCATCATTCTGACCAACAGTGACCCAAACTTGCACCTGCTCGGAGAAACCCCCGGAGTGGACTGGGCTGCTAAGTTTGGGGCTGATGAGACAGAGGGCTCTGTCGGTGGTGGCGGTATTGACGGAGGAGGTTCTGGGAGCAGACGCAAGCAGGTGGTGTCCATGATCCAGCTGGACGGGATGCCTCTGCCCTTCGAGTCCTGCCTGGAGGTCCCAGGTGTGGAGCTCATCCCTGAGGAGGATGCTGAGGTGACCGAGGGCATAGAGGAGGATGGCGGGGAGGATGAGGAGGACTCTGACCTGCCAAAGGAACCCATGTCTCCTGACAGTGTGGATGAAATCAGGGACCTGATTAACCCTGTGGTGGAGGTGGCGCTTCCAGTTGCAGAGGAGAGTGAGGAAACCAACAGGACGGAGGAGACTACAGGCACCCTTACCACAGAGGACGGGGTGCAGGAGGATGTGACGCACGTCACCACCATCGTGAACGTCCCCAGGAAATCTGTGCGAGACAAGACGTCCACAAAAGCAATGCTGGAGCAGCTGGTGGGAAGCAAAAAGCAGGAAGCTGATAAGGAGCATCAGGAGGAGGCAGCCATCAAGAACGCCATTGAGGAGATAGAGACGGCGGAGAAAGAAGACGACAGTGAACGGATTGCTGAAGTCTCTGCAACAGAATCAGATGAGTCATCGCTGCCACAACTGGCTACAGACTCCGGCTCGCGTAACGACAGCGGCTTCCAGTCGCCGACCAATGAGGGGCTGGATGAAAGTGAGCCTCAGCCAATTACAAATGGTCTGAACGGAGAGGACAAAATTATCGACCCTGCAGATGTGGAAGTGTCAGTAGCGTAGGAGGATAATCGTCTGAACAGAACTCTGAAACTGGAGACGGAAACAGCAGGTTGTGCGTCACATGTAATGGGAGAGAGTGAATTAAGACTGTATTGTTGTTGATATTGCACACTCTAAAACCAACTCTCCCGTCCTCCCCTTGACTTTTTTCTTTGGTGGTTGGTTCCTTTCTACACAGCTTAGTGAATCTCAATGCAAAGCTTTGTCATATTTTGTGTATGACACTAATTAAAACATACCTTCATGCTATGTTAATATGCTGATCTCAAGGATTTAAAGGAGTAATCCGCTTTTTTAAACTCACAAAATAAGGGAGAAAGTCTAAACAAGAACGTCATCTAAGTTATTAATGTTTTCCATTTGTGTTAAAGGTTTGTTTACATCAGTAAAGTCTGTAAACACAGCAGGAAATCAGGCCTTTTTTTAATGTATGGCTTCAATGATTCACAGCCTCTACCTGGGCAGCAGGGGGTGCTACAGTACAACCAGCCTTTAGATGTTGTACGGGGGTTGTGTATTTTCACTACTATTTTTTTTGATATACCGGTATCTATTTTTGTAAAATGTAACTTCCATATGTAGTTTGTTTACTTGGAAAGCTTCTCCGGTATTCACAAATGGCCTTTATGTTTCAACACACGATGTTTTAGCACAATCTGTCAGGAATGATTTGCACTTCCACTGTGATTTAATGAGTAAGATGGTTTCATCTCTTTTGAAAAAAAAAAAAAAAAAAAAAAAAACACCAAAACTTATTGTTTCTTGTCATTTTGCTGGTGGGTGTAGATGACCAAGATACAGTCAATAATGGCTCATATGCTTGTAGGATTTCTGATGAACTTGTAACCAGAGGAAACTCTCTTTGGGATTATGAGGGAAACTCCTTATGACGACTTCTGATGTATTTCCAAATATTACTTGTGTATATTTTGTCCAACTTCATGGTAAGTATGCTGAGTCAAACATAACAGGGATGATTTTCTATTTAAAACCAATCTGTTCAAATTTTAAAGTTGTAAAATGATATATTTGTACCTGTTATTTGGATGAAGTGGCTGTTAGAGGAGTTTTATGTCCCTGTCTGTGTAAAAAAAGAAAAAAGTAAACTGTATCACTGATGCTCACCTTGTGGAAGACATTTGTTTGTGTTAGATTAACAGTGTTGTGTCACTGTAAATCATGACATGAGACACTGATGATAAATGTGTATATAAATATTAGACTTTAATTCCTCTAATACATTTGGCAGCACTTGATTTGAGGGCGCAAAAAAGTTTCCTGGAAATAACTATTTAGTTAGCCATCTCTGCCGAGTCAATCTGCGAAAGTTGACAAGGTATAAAACCTGGTTTAATTTAATGGTTGAAACTTGTATATTTATGATCAATAATGCCTCTAGTTTGATATGGCAACACATTTGAACAATTTTATCAACAGTAACAAGCAAAGATGCTGTTAATTAGGAAGTACTCATTTAAAGTTATTGGTAATTTATATTCAGCTCATTGAAGGACATTGGGACGTTATCGTCGTCTTATTTGAGGATATTGGGACACAATCATTGTTGACAATGTTTAGTTTTTTATACTTCTCAGGTGCTACTGATCCCAAATAACTAGGAGAAATAAAAATGCATACCAAACAAAAGTTCGAGTCTCAGGAGGATTTGGAATAAACTATATTTTTGCAATTTCAGCTCATTTGATGTGCAGACTAACAGAACAGAAAACCTTTTTCCAGGACAAATAGATATGAAATACTTAAAGTGTTGTACTTTATATGATATATACCAGACGTACATATACATATTCAGCTAAATAATAGTACAAATATATCACTTTACAACTTAATTTTTGTTATTTGTACTAAAAGATAGTCCTTCCCAGGAATCTTCTTATGAATTTGCAGTTACATATCAGTTTCTTTTCAAGAATTTAAAGGGACAGTTCACCCCAATATCAAAAATACGTATTTTTCCTCTTACCTGTAGTGCTATTTATCAGTATAATTGTTTGGTGTGAGTTGCCGAGTGTTGAAGATAACAGTTGTACAGATGTCGGCATTCTCTTTAATATAATGGCACTAGGTGGCACTCAGTGCGTGGTGCTCAAAACACCAACAAAAAAAATGATTTTTTTTCTGGCGCTTTGAGCACCACAAGCTGAGTGCCATTTAGGTTCATTGTATTGGAGAGACGATAGACATCTCTACAGCTGATATCTCCAAAGCTCGGCAACTCACTCCCAAACAATCTAGATTGATAAATAGCACTACAGAAAAGAGAGAAAATCTGTATTCTTAATTTTGGGGTGAACTGTCCCTTTAAGCGAACCGTTGTCCCTGTCTAAGTGTTACCACATTTTTTTGGTGTCAGCATCACACTCTCTACTAAGTGGCTTAATTTCACTTTTGCACCATTTGTAGTCAACAGACAAGGCTGCGATCTAATGTTACACGCTGGGAGGAAAGTTGTGATTCCTGCTTCTCTCAGTTGTCTGAGTCAGTGTCCTGTTGTGAAATTTCCACTGTATCTAGGGGATCTTTTGAGTTTGCTGTCTTTAGATTCATATCCAAGACCTTTTACTTCCAGTGGAGGACCACTGTCTCCTCCTCCTGTTTATTTATTGCAAAACCTGTAAGTCTGTTTGGTGTGAGCAGCTCCACTTGTATGTTTAGTGCTTTTGTTTCCTTAAATAAATAAATATATGTGAAAAAAGATGGATGAATAGTAATATTTCATCAGCTTTCTTCTTTATTTTTTATTTCAAGTTCTTGTGACAGAAAACCATCACTAAGAAAATGTTTGAAAACCACCTCAAATCATCAGACATATTTTATTTTTTTACTATTGTTAAGAGTCTGTTGTAAAACTAGCAAAAATATTCTGTTTCAAGAGAGAACATGGGGATGTTTCAACAGAAAACACATCTGAAATGTCAGTTGCAAGGTTCTTTTCTTTGCAGGTCCATGGTTTGTCAATGATTGCCACACAACCACATGATCAACTTTCACTAACCCCTGATGTACGTGTGACAATGACTCTGATTGGTTAGTGAGCCAGTGACACACATTAAGTTGACCAGCTGCAATCACATGATTCAGTTCCTGAATCGGAGCCCTTTCTTATGACATCTGACTGAGAGTCTCAGTTCCAAGTGTGTGTCCACTTTCCAGTTTCACTCCAAAATACTGAAAAGGGACAAATAATCAGTCTTAAATCCACTGTTGTTGGTTCAAATCACAAAATGTTGCTTTTTAAGCATTCAAAAATAGAAGTCTTTAGGATGAGTTCCTCTTTAAGGCCATAGGAGTGTCTTGTCAAAATAGTCAAGAGTTAGTCTTTTATAACTGACATGAAATCTATTTTTTGACAATCTGTAGTGTCATAACACCTTGAATTGTTTAGTAAAATGCAGCGTAGTAGTTTAAAAAGTCTGCCAAGGTCAACCATAAAAACACAATTTCAGAAATAACCATAATATGCCACAAGCTATGCATGACTTTCCATCTCTGAGCTGTGTCGTCTGTCAGCTGTGGAAGATTGGGATGCATTTTAGGATAAGCAAACAAAAAAAGAAAAGAGTTTAAGCAAGCAGCACTCCCTCCCCTCAAGACTAAGATCTTCTTTCTACTGGCATTGCTCTCTTAGATGTTTGCTGTGTGAGTAGACTATCAAGACTAAGCCTTAGAAACAGAATATGACGCCCCTTTATCAGTAAAGAAAAACTTACAAATGCTAAAATCGTACACAGTGGTGTCTTTGGTGTAAGACAAATGTTAAACTTTGTATTTCCAGTTTCCAAGTTAACAACTGAATCCAGAGGCCATAACACAAAGTCTGAAACTGGTGTCGGACATCAGAATGATTTTGTGCGTGAAAAAGTTTCAGTTTCCAGATCCAGAAGAGTTAAAGCAACTGTAGTGTGCGTTAGCGTTGTGCAGCTCATCCTTCAGCATACAAAGAATTCCCCTCTCGTGCCCTCTCAGTGTTAAATGTTCACAAATGCTAACTGTGCCAGAGGGCAAAGGAATGACACGCTGATATTAGTCAAGTTTCCCATGTGTAGTATCCAGAGCATGCGGTCCTTTTAACTCGAGGGGGAAACAAGCTGTCCTCTGTGTGCACTGTCTTGACCGTCAGGTTTTACCTAGGAGAGGGAATGAGATGAAATAGCCAAGGGCTGATCCCACGATGACCCCGAGGAAGATCCAGGTGTTGTAGGACATGACGCACAGCATCAGCATGTAGCCCAGAGTCACCTGCAGTATGTGGAGGACTGTCTGGATACCATGCAGCAACACACTGCAGAGGAAAGAGAGGAATACATGAGTTGGTTACACCAGGTACATTACATAAGTATGAGAGGATCTTTGCCTCATACACTGTCAGGATGTTACCGATGTTGCAAGACAAAGTTGCATATTGATTGGGTTCAATCATTGTGACAGATTAGGTGACAGTTAAACCATTTAACAGAAAGAAAGGACCATGTTCAGTCTTACATACAGTACAGGCCAAAAGTTTGGACACACCTTCTCATTCAATGCGTTTTCTTTATTTTCATGACTATTTACATTGTAGATTCTCACTGAAGGCATCAAAACTATGAATGAACACATGTGGAGTTATGTACTTAACAAAAAAAGGTGAAATAACTGAAAACATGTTTTATATTCTAGTTTCTTCAAAATAGCCACCCTTTGCTCTGATTACTGCTTTGCACACTCTTGGCATTCTCTCCATGAGCTTCAAGAGGTAGTCACCTGAAATGGTTTCCACTTCACAGGTGTGCCTTATCAGGGTTAATTAGTGGAATTTCTTGCTTTATCAATGGGGTTGGGACCATCAGTTGTGTTGTGCAGAAGTCAGGTTAACACACAGCCGACAGCCCTATTGGACAACTGTTAAAATTCATATTATGGCAAGAACCAATCAGCTAACTAAAGAAAAACGAGTGGCCATCATTACTTTAAGAAATGAAGGTCAGTCAGTCCGGAAAATTGCAAAAACTTTAAATGTGTCCCCAAGTGGAGTCGCAAAAACCATCAAGCGCTACAACCAAACTGGCACACATGAGGACCGACCCAGGAAAGGAAGACCAAGAGTCACCTCTGCTTCTGAGGATAAGTTCATCCGAGTCACCAGCCTCAGAAATCGCAAGTTAACAGCAGCTCAGATCAGAGACCAGATGAATGCCACACAGAGTTCTAGCAGCAGACCCATCTCTAGAACAACTGTTAAGAGGAGACTGCGCCAATCAGGCCTTCATGGTCAAATAGCTGCTAGGAAACCACTGCTAAGGAGAGGCAACAAGCAGAAGAGATTTGTTTGGGCCAAGAAACACAAGGAATGGACATTAGACTAGTGGAAATCTGTGCTTTGGTCTGATGAGTCCAAATTTGAGATCTTTGGTTCCAACCGCCGTGTCTTTGTGAGACGCAGAAAAGGTGAACGGATGGATTCCACATGCCTGGTTCCCACTGTGAAGCATGGAGGAGGAGGTGTGATGGAGTGGGGGTGTTTTGCTGGTGACACTGTTGGGGATTTATTCAAAATTGAAGGCACACTGAACCAGCATGGCTACCACAGCATCCTGCAGAGACATGCCATCCCATCCGGTTTGCGTTTAGTTGGACGATCATTTATTTTTCAACAGGACAATGACCCCAAACACACCTCCAGGCTGTGTAAGGGCTATTTGACCAAGAAGGAGAGTGATGGAGTGCTGCGGCAGATGACCTGGCCTCCACAGTC